TGGCTTAATTATGAAGTTTGAAAGACACGGATAATATAAAAAAATTCCTGTTTTTATACCTTTTTTAGGGTATTAGTATTAATCAGAAGCTTATAACACAATGAAGGAATCATTTCCGACCCTGTAAATCATATATATTCTTGATCAGAATGAAACGCTGAATCGATCTAGCCATGTCTTGTGGGAAAATACAATTTTCCATTTTTCTTCAAAATTGCAAAAAAGATAAGGGGTTACATCATTAAAATTGTCAAAATTTGGCAAAAAATGAATTTTGTAAATTCAAAAACTGAGTATGCAGATTTGTTGGCGCTATGAAAATTAGCACAGAACAGCTTTTCGAATTAAATTAACGCATTTTTGGCCTAATTATGATGTTTGAAAAACATGATTATTTTAAAAATTCCCTGTTTTTATGCCATTTTGCAGGTTATTATAATTTTAGTCAGAGTCTTTTAGTACCATCAACAAACGCGGTAAGCAGATTTGTTGGCGCTTTAAAAACTATCTCAGAACAGCTTTCCGAATTTAAATTTATTCATTTTTGGCTTAATTATGAAGTTTGAAAGACACGGATAATATAAAAAATTTCCTGTTTTTATACCTTTTTTAGGGTATTAGTATTAATCAGAAGCTTATAACACAATGAAGGAATCATTTCCGACCCTGTAAATCATATATATTCTTGATCAGAATGAAACGCTGAATCGATCTAGCCATGTCTTGTGGGAAAATAAATTTTCCATTTTTCTTCAAAATTGCAAAAAAAGATAAGGGGTTACATCATTAAAATTGTCAAAATTTGGCAAAAAATTGAATTTTGTAAATTCAAAAACTGAGTATGCAGATTTGTTGGCGCTATAAAAATTAGCACAGAACAGCTTTTCGAATTGAAATTAACGCATTTTTGGCCTAATTATGATGTTTGAAAAACGCAGATTTTTTAAAAAAATCCCTGTTTTTATGCCATTTTGCAGGTTATTATAATTTTAGTCAGAGTCTTTTAGTACCATCAACAAACGCGGTAAGCAGATTTGTTGGCGCTTTAAAAACTATCTCAGAACAGCTTTCCGAATTTAAATTTATTCATTTTTGGCTTAATTATGAAGTTTGAAAGACACGGATAATATAAAAAATTTCCTGTTTTTATACCTTTTTGGGTATTAGTATTAATCAGAAGCTTATAACACAATGAAGGAATCATTTCCGACCCTGTAAATCATATATATTCTTGATCAGAATGAAACGCTGAATCGATCTAGCCATGTCTTGTGGGAAAATAAATTTTCCATTTTTCTTCAAAATTGCAAAAAAGATAAGGGGTTACATCATTAAATTGTCAAATTTGGCAAAAAATTGAATTTTGTAAATTCAAAAACTGAGTATGCAGATTTGTTGGCGCTATAAAAATTAGCACAGAACAGCTTTTCGAATTGAAATTAACGCATTTTTGGCCTAATTATGATGTTTGAAAAACGAGATTTTTAAAAAAATTCCCTGTTTTTATGCCATTTGCAGGTTATTATAATTTTAGTCAGAGTCTTTTAGTACCATCAACAAACGCGGTACGCAGATTTGTTGGCGCTTTAAAAACTATCTCAGAACAGCTTTCCGAATTTAAATTTATTCATTTTTGGCTTAATTATGAAGTTTGAAAGACACGGATAATATAAAAAAATTGCCTGTTTTTATACCTTTTTTAGGGTATTAGTATTAATCAGAAGCTTATAACACAATGAAGGAATCATTTCCGACCCTGTAAATCATATATATTCTTGATCAGAATGAAACGCTGAATCGATCTAGCCATGTCTTGTGGGAAAATAAATTTTCCATTTTTCTTCAAAATTGCAAAAAAAGATAAGGGGTTACATCATTAAAATTGTCAAAATTTGGCAAAAAATTGAATTTTTAAATTCAAAAACTGAGTATGCAGATTTGTTGGCGCTATAAAAATTAGCACAGAACAGCTTTTCGAATTGAAATTAACGCATTTTTGGCCTAATTATGATGTTTGAAAAACGCAGATTTAAAAAAATGCCCTGTTTTTATGCCATTTTGCAGGTTATTATAATTTTAGTCAGAGTCTTTTAGTACCATCAACAAACGCGGTACGCAGATTTGTTGGCGCTTTAAAAACTATCTCAGAACAGCTTTCCGAATTTAAATTTATTCATTTTTGGCTTAATTATGAAGTTTGAAAACACGGATAATAAAAAAATTCCTGTTTTATACCTTTTTTAGGGTATTAGTATTAATCAGAAGCTTATAACACAATGAAGGAATCATTTCCGACCCTGTAAATCATATATATTCTTGATCAGAATGAAACGCTGAATCGATCTAGCCATGTCTTGTGGGAAAATAAAATTTTCCATTTTTCTTCAAAATTGCAAAAAAAGATAAGGGGTTACATCATTAAAATTGTCAAAATTTGGCAAAAAATTGAATTTTGTAAATTCAAAAACTGAGTATGCAGATTTGTTGGCGCTATAAAAATTAGCACAGAACAGCTTTTCGAATTGAAATTAACGCATTTTTGGCCTATTATGATGTTTGAAAAACGAAGATTTAAAAAAAATGCCCTGTTTTTATGCCATTTTGCAGGTTATTATAATTTTAGTCAGAGTCTTTTATACCATCAACAAACGCGGTAAGCAGATTTGTTGGCGCTTTAAAAACTATCTCAGAACAGCTTTCCGAATTAAATTTATTCATTTTTGGCTTAATTATGAAGTTTGAAAGACACGGATAATATAAAAAATTCCTGTTTTTATACCTTTTTTAGGGTATTAGTATTAATCAGAAGCTTATAACACAATGAAGGAATCATTTCCGACCCTGTAAATCATATATATTCTTGATCAGAATGAAACGCTGAATCGATCTAGCCATGTCTTGTGGGAAAATAAAATTTTCCATTTTTCTTCAAAATTGCAAAAAAGATAAGGGGTTACATCATTAAAATTGTCAAAATTTGGCAAAAAATTGAATTTTGTAAATTCAAAAACTGAGTATGCAGATTTGTTGGCGCTATAAAATTAGCACAGAACAGCTTTTCGAATTGAAATTAACGCATTTTTGGCCTAATTATGATGTTTGAAAAACGCAGATTTTTAAAAAATGCCCTGTTTTTATGCCAATTTGCAGGTTATTATAATTTTAGTCAGAGTCTTTTAGTACCATCAACAAACGCGGTAGTTGGCGCTTTAAAAACTATCTCAGAACAGCTTTCCGAATTTAATTTATTCATTTTTGGCTTAATTATGAAGTTTGAAAGCACGGATAATATAAAAAATTTCCTGTTTTTATACCTTTTTTAGGGTATTAGTATTAATCAGAAGCTTATAACACAATGAAGGAATCATTTCCGACCCTGTAAATCATATATATTCTTGATCAGAATGAAACGCTGAATCGATCTAGCCATGTCTTGTGGGAAAATAAAATTTTCCATTTTTCTTCAAAATTGCAAAAAAGATAAGGGTTACATCATTAAATTGTCAAAATTTGGCAAAAAATTGAATTTTGTAAATTCAAAAACTGAGTATGAGTAGCGCAGAACAGCTTTTCGAATTGAAATTGGGGATATTTTGTCGTAGTAATAATAGATTATCTAACGTTAATATTTAAATTTTATGACACATATATTTAAGAGCTCTTCTACAAGCCTACCACTTTAAATGCAACTTTTCAAATGTAGTATGCATATAAAGGCTATAAAAAACAATTATATTACCAGTGATTTTATAAGCATTTATAATCTCTAGCCTATTTTGACGAATTACTTAGATTTTATTCAACTGACGATGATTCAACGAGTTTAATAAATATAATCAACAATATGCATATGAATTTCCGTTGGCACAAAGAAAATCAAAGTTATCAATTCATCGAACAAAACATATTAGAAAAATATATAAAAAATACTTTTGTTATTAATTATACGACTTTGAATTTTGCTTAATTTATTAATTTTTATTATGTCATATATTTTGCGGTTTAAATACAAAATATTTTTGTTTGCTGTTTTTTACTTATTATACATAAACCTATTGATTTGCCAGAAAAGCAGGGTATAATTTTAGGATCCACATTTTAAGTGAGCCTCACATGTTTAGGCCAATTTTTTAATACGGGATAAAATATAAGAAATAGTCATATATTTTTAAAATTAAAGTTTCTATTTTTTATATTTTAATTTATCTTAAATACTATCAACTTTATTTTTGAATCCTTTTAGTGTTTGTAATACCATTCGTTGACATCAAGGGTAGCTTTTAAATTTTATTAAACTATTAAAAACTAAATTTCAAATCATTAAATGGTTTCCTTTCCTTGTATAATTTTTTTATCATGTTTTGTTATAATCAAAGAAGGATTTATAAGTATAATGTAATTATTGTTTCAAGTCAACATATTTATTCCATATCCCTTGGAATTAATAAAGAATACAGAAAAGAATTATCAGTGAGAATTCTTTACATTTATGTAGTTACATTATCAAAGGTTACTTAAACTAGAATGAAGATTACGTGTGATCTAATTTTACTAAACTAATCAATTAACAGGTGATGCTGACCAAGAAGCCACGTATAAAAGTTTGCTAATAGATTTATGACATTTTACAATCTATTAGATTAGCACAACCGGCGTATTGTGAGCCCACAACTTCGTCATTATTTATGGCGTTAGGGTTATTAAAGTTTGCAGAGTCCAGAGACGAATTCGCAGGTGAATCAATCTACAGTGCGCCCTTGGATCCTATGTGTGGTCAGCGGGCTCGTTGCTGCTACTAAAGATAAGTGTATCCAGGGCTATCTCCAATATCGCTACCTTTGACAATGTCGCCCGCTTGTAGTTGGGCAGCGAAATTAGCGAAATAAAGATATCGATATCTGCAATTAATCAGCAGAATGGGAATATTTCACTAGGTCCATAAAAGCAGCAGAGAAATTCAAGGCTCTCAAAGCTATATAAGCTCGATTGGAAGGTGGTAGAGTATTCACTTGCCTTTGCCTTTTCCAGCGGTAAGCACATAATCAGAGTCCTTGAAGTGGGACCACTATTTAATCTTCAATTCTTTTGTTCTTATCTGCAGCATTACCAACAAGAATCCAGATCAATCAACATGGTGTCTGTAAGTATTAAACCTTCTGGGTTTGCATAATGTTCTCCTAAAGAAAACTGAATGGAAAATTATTAATTGCACAAATCCTGCTACCTTTTCCCAAACAGTTCGAAGAAGCTACTGAACTCGCCAAGAAGTTCACCAAGAAGCCCACCGATGCCGAATTCCTGGAGTTCTACGGTCTCTTCAAGCAGGCCACCGTTGGCGATGTGAACATCGAGAAGCCCGGCGCTCTGGATCTGAAGGGCAAGGCCAAGTTCGAGGCCTGGAACTCCAACAAGGGCCTGTCCAAGGAGGCCGCCAAGGAGGCCTACATCAAGGTGTACGAGAAGTATGCCCCCAAGTACGCCTAAAATGGTTACCCCTCCCCAGCGGAAGTCGACCCCCCATGTACTTGCCACTACTTAGTAGAGCAATAAAGATTAACCCAGATATGAACACATACAGAGTAGTAATCATCAGGTGTTTGTCCGGCTGAGCGGCATTTTATTGGAGCTTTCGTGCATTATAGCAACCGCCCCTGATCCGCCATTTCCCCGTGGCATTTTGGAGGGCGATAGGAAGGCGCTCGAACTTCGATCCGGGTGAGATTACGTGGCTTCGTGTCCGCCGGGTTTGGCGGTTTTATCAGGGAATCGGAACTGCTATCAGCGGGCCTGCATTATCAGACCGGCGATTGCCTAACCCACTCAAGCGAAAGCTTTCAGATCTCGCTCTCACTGTGGTTCTCTTTAGAGAGAAGCTTTCCCGGCGAGGCGATCGCGCGATATGGAAAGACTTAAATTAAAAGTCACCGCGAGATTGGAATTCATACAGTGTTTAGTTCTGTGACCGCCAACACCGAAGTAAGTGCCGAGTTCCAATCTGGATTCAATTGCTCTGCTCCATAGCCCTGTCCGGAATTACCTATCAGTGCCCACTAATTATAGGTTTGACACATAAAAACCCGGTCAGATAATAGCCGGAATAGGGTGTGTGAAGTCGAGCACCTGGCAAATTTAAATATAGAAATAGACAAGAACATAAACACTGAAAAAAAGGGATTTTGAAAAGATTTGGAGTTGAAATAGATACTCAAATTAATTGAGTAATTTGTGCAGTGATAACGCAATTAAAATTTGAACTCTTACTCAAATATGAACCTAAGCAACATCTTACTAAATATACGCAATAATGCATTTAAAAACTGACACTTTGATGACTAAATCATAATTTTTGACATCTAACACTTGCAGTCTTTCACGCAAATAAACCTAATGAGTATACTTACTTGGCAACTCGATTCCAGTTTGTGCGAACATTTCTAACCATAAATTGGCTTTGCCATTTACGACAGGTATTTTGCTTAGTGCATGAGACACGTACGAAGCCCACACCACACCCGTGTCCATATTGGTCGAAAAATTTGCTGGCCAAAAGCGGCTGCTAACGGTTGCCAACCTAACACGCTCCCTTTCAAAAATCTTAAATATTTGCGTCTTCAGCAGCAAAAATAAAAACACTTGTATGAATGTTCCAGCAGTTCCATCTGCGTTATATTTCTCCGCTCGGAGAAAGTCCGAGATGTGTGTGTGTGGGGTCCAAGAAACAACCATTAGCAAACTTCTTCGTCGAGATCAGACCACGGGGCCAAAGTTCGGTTGAGTCAGTTTGGCACTCGTCAAGGGTGTTTGTCGGCAAACTGGTTTGTCCAACAAGCAATTATGATAACATAAAACCCAGCATAAAATAAATACGACTAATTCTTCTTTTTCACAATTCCACTTATTGCAGATAAAATCTAACCCAGAATGACCCTCTCCGAGGTAAGTACTTTTCCGAAAGATAATTAGAACGATACTTAGAGCCGCAATAAGCTCAAGGCTAATCGAACTGTTGATTAGCCTTCATTCAGTGAAAATCACAATTACAAAAAAAAAGAATATAATTTATTACCAGAGAAAACTGTTCTAACAAATACAAATCCGATTAAATTGAACTTTACCTTGGAATGACAAGTGTTTTTGATTTCACGTTAAGTGCAGTAAAACCCGATAATGCTAATCTGTTTTAAAGATTTCTAAATGTTACTTAGAAATTAATGGAATATTTTTTACTCGCTATGGAGTAGTATCCCTAGGAAAACATTTAAATTTGAACATTGTCTGATTATTTATATAAATATCATAAAAAAAGTAATCTCTAAAGAGCATAAGTGTTTAAAGGAAATATTTAATATTTCTAAGTTGTGTCTATTAAATATCTACAGCATGACGAATTATTGTTAAACAGCTAATTTAAAGCTTTAAAAACGTATTTAAACTTCCATAATTTCTCCCATTAGCAATTCAACGCCGCCGCCGAGAAGGTGAAGACCCTGACCAAGCGTCCCAGCGACGACGAGTTCCTGGAGCTGTACGCCCTCTTCAAGCAGGCCAGCGTGGGTGACAACGACACCGCCAAGCCCGGTCTGCTCGACCTCAAGGGCAAGGCCAAGTGGGAGGCCTGGAACAAGCAGAAGGGCAAGAGCAGCGAGGCTGCCCAGCAGGAGTACGTGACCTTCGTGGAGGGCCTGGTGGCCAAGTATGCCTAAGCTCTCAACCAAAGCATCGATCCTAAACCAGAGACTAAAACCCTTAATGTAACAAACAGACAACTTATAATGCGAAATAAACTTTGAATGTAAATTTTGTAAAAAAAACCCACTAACCTCTTGACTCTTTTGGTGCATTCGGTTCGCTGGCGGCAATTTTTACTGGGCATGTATTTAGTATATATGTTTGGCAAATGGTAAATAGAGGAAGTGCCTGGGGCACTGCACCGCTGGGTAGTACTTTGCACCACCGGTGGCGCTTGTTAGCGGCTCATCGTTAATGGATCTTCGAGAGTGTTTGCTCAAACGCACGGGCGGAAGATATCCGTAGGTACTTCAGGTTCCTTAACTCGACGACCTTGAACCATCGATTCATTGAGCTCTAAGATGGGAAAACACATTAGAAGGCAGATGGCTTTATATATTCATAACTAGCCTTTTTTGTGAATTGATCCTAAATCATTTTGCGAAATTATGTGACTTTTATTTTAATGCATTAAACCCAAGCGATCATATTTATCACATTTATTACGTCTAAATTGAATTTAAATGTTATTGCTTTCTTTATGCCAGCAATAAAATATTAAAATATAATACGTATGGTTAATTAAATGGATGTTTTATTGATAAAAGCCTTTTTTATTTTTAGCTTAAGTACATAACTATAGTTTAACGTATTAAAGTTTTCCCTGTAAAGTGTAGTTACAAAAAGTATCTCGATAATTAGCCACGATACTTCGTGATTTTCCTAAATTTATCTTAACTGCTTCCGCAACAAATATCCCTCAAGCAAGATCTATCTATACATTTTAGGTGCACTTAGAACCGCCAGCAACATTGGCTGCTGCCGATAGCAACATGTTGTCGGTTGCCAGGCCGCGCAACAGGTGAAGACCGAAACAATAAAGGTAAAGAGAGAGAAGAGGAGAGAGGAGGCCAGACAACAACAATGCGAGCAGAGTTTTTTGTTTATGAATGAAAAGCGCAAAGGCAAAACAGCGATAAATCGTGTGAGCAAAAAGAGTAGCAAACTGGGCTAACTACGAGGGAACGACAAACGGATACCCTATAATAAATGTATCTAAGGGTATTAAAATCAACACTTACTACAGTACAGTAATAAATGTTATATTGACTGGTCCAGTAAATAAAAAATGAATGATATTGGGAAGCCATAAAATCTCTCGAGTTTGCGCTGTAAAGTATGCTATGTAAAATGCTCTTGGAGACTCCCAAAATGGTTGGTAGGGAAAACGTAGATACAATTTTCTGGACTTCTTTTAAATATATGCTTTCTAAATGTTTAGCTTAAATTAAGAAAAAGTATAATTTTATATATTACAAAATGGTTTATTGTCTATATATTTCCATGAAAATGCTTAAAATTGTGCATTTCATTAAAGATTAATAATGAACATTTCGGGAGGTCTCTTAAGGGTTTTTCATAAACCTAATACACCTGTTTTAGAACACAGTAGCAAAGGAACTGTGAGAAGAAAGGTAGACCGATGGAGAGGAATCGGGAGAACTTGTCCACGAGAGATATATATTCAGAGAGATATATAAGAGAGAGAGAGCGATCGTGCAAAACAAACAGGCAGCAGAAACAACAACAAAAACAACCCGTCGGTGTCAGCCAGTCTGACAATTGGGCTTTGTTGTTGTGGCCATTGCTTTGCTTTTGCTTTGCTTTGCTTTGCTTCGCTCTGCCTTGCCATTCCATTCCATTTTGGTCGTTTTCCAGTCAGTCTTCGTTCGGGCCCAAACGCGTTCGCTTGGCCAGCGCTCTCGTCACTCCCGATACCGATACCGATCCCGATACCCTCGCCCCCCGCCCACACATATCGACGCCTTTGTGTGTGTGTGTGTGTGTGTGCGTGCCTACGTGTGTGCGTGTGTATGTGTGTGTTAACAAAATGTGATTAGCAAAAATACAAAGAAATCAGGCATAGTGGAACACTGGGCATTGTGGCTGAAACAACAGTCAACTCAACGACAGCGCACATAAATAAATACAACAACAAAAATATTAACAAAAAAATAAAACAAAATTACTTAAGAATATACACGAAATGCGAAAATTTGCATAAAAAGCAATGCGCTGGCGCGGCAACAAAGCGCGGCCGTTAAAAAATAAATAAAGCCAACAAAAAATTCTGCAGTTTTGTGCTTTATCGGCAGCGAGCGGTAGCAACAATTAAATTAATAATTGAACTACACCCAAAAGTTAACAAAAGTTAACAGGCAGCAGCAGCAATAATACAATATAAAAAAAAAAACGGTTGCGGCTAACTTGGCCAAAAACAACAACACCAGCAGCAGCAGCAGCGGCAGCAACAACAACTGCAACATCAGCAACAACAATCTACCTTGTCTACCTTTTTTTTGTGTGTGCCTTTCCAAGTGTTTTTGTTGCTGCAGCAAGAGAGCCAGGAACCGCAGACAAGAGAGCCCAAAAGAGAGGAGATCGGGGCTTAACTCCGACTTCGGACCAGTTTCCAGTTGCGGCTAGTGACACTGACATGACCAGCTGTCCGCCAACGAACACAGATGCAGTCCGGTGAGTTCGCCCATTTACCGTTCAAAATTCAAATTTGCCGCCAAGTGCCTGTTTGGAAAAACAAGCCAATTGTGATTAATATGTATAAAATTAAGTTTTAATTTAAATTAGGAGCTTTGTGAATTATACTATATATTTCATCTATATATCATTAGTGAATTGTAATGTAAATGCAGCTTAAGCCCTCGATAATTTCACAACTCACAGAAGCCTTAAAAAATTTGTTTGAATTATAATTTCACCTGGGTTTAACTTGCCTTCTGTGCAGGTAAAAATTTCAGCCAGGTAGCTAACCGCCTGGGGAATACACGATTGCAGGCTCCAAGCCCAAAGTCCCATTAGAATGTGCCAAAAAAAGTCTGTGTGTGCTGTTGGCCTTTTGTATACCCTGTATGTGTTCTTGTAGTTGTTGTGCTAATTCGCAGCGATTTCTTCGTTTGCGGCCTTTTCATTAATAAGTTTCACGCGCCGCTCATTTTTCAACATATTCTCGCACTCCTGTCACCCCTCGCCACGTCCATGTCTCTGGATCGGATTACCGTGTTGATGTTGTCTTTACTTTTCGCAGTCCCCCCTTTCGGCCCAAAAATGTGAATGGGTAGAACTGCGGGGAGTGCGGCGAATAATTTATAATTTTTTGTGTTGCTAATTCGTTGATGTCGGTAGTTTTTTTTTTGTTTTAAGGCTTCCAGTGGGGTAGATAACATTTTAATTTAAACAGTGATGCAATCAGCTTGGACAATTAGCTGAGTTTCGATCTTATCTGGACTTAATTATGGATTAATTATTGTAAAACAAGAAAGAAAACTAAGTCGGGAATTGAATTGATATTTTTATGGGTAAATCAAAGTTCTTCAAATATCATAACTAAGCCAAAAATCAATTCATTTTAATGGCTCAGCTCTTTGCTGATCAATAATATATATGGTTTATAGTGTCGGAAATGTCTATTTTGCTTGTTACAAGCTTTTGACTGATATTATAATACCATATAAGAGTATGAAAAGGAATGCTACAAATAAGGCTGAACTCAAAATAATATATATATAATTATAATCTACCCCAATAAAAGTCCTAATACTTCTTAAAACAATTAATGAAAGGTTTCTATAAAACAATCACAAACGTATCTCAAGTCCGATCTATGTAGCATCCACAGATCCCAAAGTAGATCGTTCCCACATTATCACCAGATACCTCACTCCTCCCTATCGATAACCAATAATTACCAATGACATCTGCAACCCAGATTTTAAAGCTCAGACAAATATATTATCAATCCAAGACCATCCCATCCCAGTTACCAGTCACCAGTTCCATCCCATCCCGCCCAGCGGTGGCGACGACTGTCTGCGCATGCGTAGGGTAGCCAGAACGGTGAGGCGAGGGAAAAACTAGTTTTCCGACTACGACTAATACTAGTTATGCCGCCAAAAACCATTGCCCCCTTCCGTTGGCCAGACTTTGGACCGACATGTAATTGCAGTCGCAAGTTGCAAGTTGCAAGTTGCAGGTTGCTGGTTGCGAGTTGCCACTGCCAGCCAGTCGAGACACTTGACGCTCCTCCGGGAACGGCCAGGTATGACAATGGAATGCGCCAACAACAAGAACCGAACCGAACACTGCTCGCCGGGCACGCAATGCGACTCGGTTTCGGAGGAGCGGAATGCTCGCTGGATCATAATACGTATACGTCCAGGGTGACGGTTATGTGAGTCGGTGCGCCGGGTTCGCGGAAACTCCCTACAAGGAGATCGGGTCCGCGGCGGAAGCGCTGTCGGTGGTGGCGACATGGAGGCCGTGCCACTTGGCCGAATGGACCAGCCCTGGCCAACAGGTAGGGTTACTCATAACGGAGAATCTCAGCTCTATCACGGTGTCTCAGCGGTGTCTCTATCGGAGAATTGAGTCATTCGCACGATCTTATAAAACACAGACGAACTTCCATAAATCGAACGGCGATCTGTCACGTTCGAGATCGGATAATGTCTTTAAGTTCTGGAAAACTGCGAGTACTTTTTTGGTTAAACTTTAAGAAGAACTTTTGCGTCATGACTAGTCTTTAAAGTTTAGTTTTAAATATACATATTTTGTTTAATGTTTTAAGAGTCTTTTCCTACAATTTATTTACTTATAGGATTAGCAAAAACCCCCCTAGGGTAAGATACGGATTATACGGGTTTGTAAATATTAAGAAAAATTATAACACTCAGCCGATAAATATATATATTTAGTGACTGTGTTTCATTTCTGAACTCTGCCATTTTGTGGAGCAATGCAAATAGAATCTAAGCGGTGAATTATGGGGCCTCGGATTTTTGGCACAGCCTTTTGTTTCCACTCTGTCTCCGAAAATCTGGTGACCACGGCGCCCCCCTTTCGACCAAGCCCCCCCCTCCCTGCTGGGGCAACGAAGCCGCGGGCTTCGTGTGTATTAACCTGCCGCACCGGTTTCGGTTTATGTTTTAGCCAACGCCATCATCCATTACTTATACCCTTACCCGTACATATGTGTGTTTCTATTTCTCTTTTAATTTTCTCTCGGGCGCTCAAAGTTGCTGCCGCTTTTGCTGTTGCTGTTGCTGCTGCTGTTGTTGCTGCTGCTGCTGCGACTTGTTGCTGCTTCTTTATTTATTTTTTAACCAGTTTTTCTGTTTGTTGTTGGTGCTGCAACCTGAGCGCGAATGAGCCATAAATAACAAAAACAACAACAACTCAAGCAGCTCTGTGTCTCTCCTTCACAGTCGCTGTCCCGGTTTCCAGGAAGCAAATGCCTGTCCGTCAGTCTTGTCCGCCTGTCCGCCAGAGGCCCAAACCGTCTGCAATTCGCGTGCAGAGCGGCTGACTGGCCTCTTTGGATTATGCAACTCTTGGGTTTTTGGTTTTGGCTTTTGGTTTTTATTTAAAAATTTAATAACCCGGGCGTTGGCGTTTTCTTTGGCGTTGGCGTCTGCTTCCTTGATGGTGGGAAATGACTTTTCTGCCAGCTCTTTCAGCTATTTCTTTTTTTTTTTTTTTGTAAGCTGCCCACTCATTCGGCCAGCCAGCAAATTCCCCGTCTGATGATCCGCTAAGTCGCGGCTAATCCACGTCAGGAATTTTGCGCATCTAATCAAAAGACACACTCAGTCGCGTGCATTCCACGAAGGTCCAAAAGACGTCGTTGGCTAACAAATTAGACGGCTATCAGGGCAAACAAGGGTGGCCGACAGCAAACATCATCGTTTGCGGGAAACCCCACGGAAAACAGAAGGGAAACACTTCGCGGAATGGCCATGAGGTGCTGCACTCCGTATACGAATTTGGTTCACTTGAATAAACAAACTCAATACGAACGAATCGATGTGTGCCAAAACCTGCACAAATTCCCAATTATTCGCAGGTTCCATAAAGATACTCTTCAGCCATAAAGATAGGAGAAAATAATTATGACGAATCATAACTCAACTCGATTTATAGTACTCCAATATCTATTCAGCAATTAGTTCTAGCACTAGTTCGAGTACCTTGGCGCACTGTGCAAGGGCATCTAAGTGCGCGTATTTGAGATAAGAGTCGAGGCAATGCAACAAGTATTCGGTGTCCGCTGAATATCTATTTGTATACAAAACTATTATGCATTTTAGCGGCAAAACGAGAATAGAAATGCCTGGAGCAACAAGTATTTCGGGGCTCCGGACGAACCTCTTATATTCGCAAACGGACTACATAGTTCGCCTCAGTGAGTGCCGGGCGATAAGATAAAAAGTGGCTGCCAGAGGCGCCTGAACTTTGGCAATGGGCCAACTCACAACATGACACTGAAAAAATGCATGACTAAAATAGGCAAAGAACACCCGACTAATTCGCATTTGATCTGGGGAAAGATTATTTGAACTTGTCTGAATCGATGGGATTTTTGATGCACTTGAAATGTGGAATAATGCAGAAATTATATTCTATATTACATATATAAATTTTATTTACATGTTGAACTTACACCGATGTTGACTTAGGATATTACTTGCTCGAGTTATTAAATACACAATTGTTACATAGTTTTCAGTAATAGTATTTAATTTATTAAGCCTAGTGACTTTATAATAAAAAATTTTCAATCATTTTAAATAAATTTGTATTCTCGCAACGTAAACTCATAATAATTCTTCTATAGTTCCACAGATGATGCAATTTAACCAACCATAATTGGGAGACTTCTCCAAAGATGCACGACCTTTTTAATAAAGTGCTCGCCAAGCGCGATCTCTCCCGAGCCGGAGATCTCTTCTCTGTGCCGGATGCGGATATTGTAGACGATATCACGGAGGTGGTAGTTATCCAACCTAAATAATTCTAAGAGTTGTTCTCACCTCCCTGAACTCTTGCAGCTCTCTGAGATCAGTCCCATCATCTCGCATGCGGATTATGTGAAGAACAACAATGACCAGAGCGTGGTGGAGATCTGTGTGACACGGGTGCTCTCCTGTATAAGGGAAACACGTACTGCGGAGCGTTATTGTGCCGCTCTGGTGGATCTGCTAAAGACCTGCTGCTATGGAACCTTCAGCCATCGGTTACCACGAAAGAAGAGCCGCCACATGCCAAGATAGCCGCCGACATCATCTCCAGCATTTTTCTGGTAATAAATTATAAAAGTGGTCCAGTAAATTAAGTAAATTATTTTTATAATCCTTACAGAACTATGACAAAAAGGAACTGATGAAAATTGCCTTGCCCGTTGCCGTCCAGTTCCTGCCAAAGGGTAATCGGGAGCTATCCCGTAACCTGGCCAGTTACCTATCGCTGGCGGCCATCGATCATGCTGTTGCTGAGTCCCCACACGGAGTCTGTGATGGAATCCATATTGTCGGGAAATTATGGCCTGCTTCGTGTCCTCTCGCAGGTGTACGAGGTGGCCCCGGAGGCGGTGACACCGCATGCTCCTCTCCTGATGCCTCTTCTTCCTCAATGTGATCCCCAAGAGCGAATGGCGGTGTTCCAGTTGTATCTACTGATTGTGCAGCAGTCGCCTGAGGTGCTGGAGTCATGTGTGCCACAGCTGTGCGGTTCCTGCTAGACAGTGAAACCTCCAGCATCACCATGCAGATCCTGCTAAAGTTGGCACAACACTCACTGAACCTCCTTGTCGATCACTTCGAGCAGCTGCGCCTGGCGGCCAAGACCAACCCGGGAACGATCCCCTTATGCGCTCAGATTATGACCACATCGGGTATTGGTAGCAAGGAGACAGCCCAGCAGGCCCTGGACTTTGTGCTGGAGCACCTGCCCACCCAGGCACTGTTGCAGCAAGAGGCCACGCGACTCTGCTCCGCTTATCCGGTTCTGTTCACAGACAAGGTCCTGGCTGTGTGCGGCAGAAGAACGCCGCTCTCAGTTCTCAACAGGATGTGGGCAATGCGCTGGGGAACAAGATCTCCGGCGGAGTCACCATCGTCAGTCTGAACAGCTCCAGTCCCAGTCCACAGCTGAAGCCAGGTGAGAGTAATTTTTTGGGAACTTATATAAGATTTTAAAATCCTAAATTAATAAATATGATCCCTAGCTCCCCTTGCCGCTCCGTCCAGCAATACCACAATCATCCAGCAGGCCAGTGCAGCTATGCCACGCCCATTGCTCCGCCTGCCTCTGCTTCAGCTCCCATTGCCACCTCAACGCCAGTGTCTACGGCCACACCACACCACAGCATGCAGGCTATACGCGGCGGGTGAAGTTGGGTGATTCTAGGAGCACCGGTCGCCTTCATCCCGCCAGCAACACACACCGGAGTGTGACCCGGCTGAACGTGGCCAGCGGATCCGTGGGAGGACTCCACAAGAGCATGACCAGACTGAGCAACTCGCAGATTAACCAGCAACCGGGTGGCAGCTCCAACGGCAATGTGGTGGTGCAACCTGGAGCCACGCCCAAGACTCCAACCGCCTTCACCAATCCGCCCGTAACGCCAGTGCCACCACTTAGTAATAACGTGGTCATCACTGGACATAATAAGCACGGAATACCCGTGACCTCCGGCGGCGTGACTGTGACCACGTCGCCAACGAAGGTGAGGCCGCACTCCCAGGGCCCGTCGACGCTGCTCAACTCGAGCACAGTGCTGATGAAGTACAGCACGGATGCACTGAACCAGTCGGTGGGTTCGATCTCCATACCACAGACGGCGGCAGCGACTACCTCGGCTCCGGTTCAGACACAGAATGCAGTGTCCGTGCACCATGCATCTCCGGCACTGCCCCAGGCCTCCAGCAATGGCAATGCCAAGTCGGTGATGAAGCTGCCTGTGAATGGGAATGTAAGTGGAGGGAAATATATAAAATATCCAATATCGGACTTAGAATATCTTCCTTTTCAGAGCGAAGTAATTGTGTCAGGACCCACAACCAATGTGGCACCACGTCGCAGTGACAATACCAGCCGTACCTTACTGAACGCCAACAGTGTGATGGATCAGCGGATGAGCACCTTTGAGCCGTACCAGATAATGCGTGATCCCGTCCAGCAGTTTTGCGAGAAGAACTTCAACTCGATCAAGTCGTATATGGACGAGGTGTCGCAGCACTTGCCACCGCCGACACGTTGCAGCATCGAGGGTAAGTCCTTGGCGGTGGCTTTTTCCTCAAACTCTAACCTGTCCTTGCATCCCGCACATAAATACACACCCTCCACACACACACACACATACACGAACATACACATCACACAGTTTCCAATGAATTCGCAGAACGTCGAACTAAAAAGGTGGCCAAGCTGCATTTGCCTGCCAGATCCGAGGACCCCATTGCCTGTACTCCAAGACTTGCTTTACAATGCGAACGCGCAATCCCAAGACCTGGATACATATGATGTTCCTGGACTTTCAAGTGCGGCATTTTGTAAGTCCTAAAAGAATCTAATTACTTACAGTAGATATTATAAATCTGCTTATTTCTGTTTTATCAGGTCAAGGAAAAGTGTGTGCTGAGCACACGTGAATCCGGTATTAGCAATCTCAAGAATATCTGGCAGATACTCAAGTGCGAGAATCGCAGCTTCACCGAGCTGGTCACCAGCCAGTTTCCGCAGGTCAAGGTGTGTTTAATTAACAAGATAAAGTAGCCAAGAAAGTCAAATTATTATTCTCCCCTCTTCAGGACCGCGAAATCCTGGTAAACGAGCTGCGTCACTCGGGCTTCCTGGACGTGTTCGAGGTCTCCAAGACTGACAAGTCCAATCCGAACTGCAATGAGTTGGAGTTCCAGTGGGGCTGCTTCCTGTGCAACCATCCAGACAAGGCAGTGGGTTTCCTCAATGGCAGCAATCAGCCCATGATCGAGGGCCAGCTGAAGGAGAAGAAGGGCAAGTGGCGACTCTTCCGGCGCTGGCGAACGCGCTACTTCACACTATCCGGGGCCCATCTGTCCTGCAAGGGATCTGTGAGTATTTTAAAGATACATTATCTAAATAAAGGCTAAACTTACGAATCTCTTAGAGCGGCGGCGAGAGCATTGATGTGAACCAGATACGATCGGTGAAGGTGTCACGTGGCGCCCGAAACATACCCAAGGCATTTGAGATCTTCACCGCCGACCAGACCCTAATACTCAAGCCCAAGGATGGAAAGAATGCCGAGGAGTGGGTGCAGTGCCTCAGCATTGTGGTGGCTCACTCGCAGGCCCGTGACAATCCCACGGCCAAGACGAATAGCTTGCCGGCCCGCAGTATGGGCAGCAGCAAGCCCTCTTTTTAGGATTAGGATCCTGCGGGATCCACCTCCCCCAATTGTGAGATTATTTGTAAATGTAAAGACAGAGCAACGGCAACACACAAAAGACAAGCAAAAAACAGACAAAGGAGCGGCGTTGACAGGACTTTGCTGTCTATATATACACACCATATATATATAAATAATATGTCATTCTATATATGCAGATATATATATATACATATATATAGCGTATGCCTACGCCCATAGACTTATTTAGGTTTACTCACCATTTCAAGGGATTTCAAAAATTTTGCGAAATTGTTTTTTCATTTATAGTTGATTTTTATATACATACACACATGTATTTAGTTTATGCTTATTTATTGTACGTGTATTAAACAAACAGCTTGCTTTCAAATTCGAATGCTTCTTAATTTCAGTACACAGGGTCTATTATCCTGAGGCTTAGCCCCTTCTCTCACATTCCTGATGACTGAATAGCAAATTGTAGCTGCAATTATCATAATTTTGGCAATGCGGCAAGGAATTCTGTTTGAGGCGAGCTGGATATCCGAAGGATATCTGCCATTTACTCATAAGCAATGTTATCTCTGAACAAAGATACTTTTATGCTAAATCTGCTTTGTGATTGGCGCTAATCTGTTGTGGCATAATGGAGTCCTTTCTAGGGTGCTATCTCATCAAATGTTAACTTAAAGTCTACATTAAATTTAATATAGGATTTTCAATAATACTTGTTAAACCCATTAATTTTGATCAGGGCTGCAGAAAGTGAACTCAAGACAAAAAGTATGCAGCAGAGCAAATTAAAATGTGCTGGGTATGCTATATAATTTAAATGCGAATCTAATAAAAAACTCGCATTAGATCTAGATCACCTGTGCAGAAGTCAAAGAAAGTCGTCTAGTTTGTGTGTGGAATGCGACAATGATCTCAATAAAATATGCCTTCCTTTGGACGTGGTTTAAAAACATCTAGAGCTGCGATCGATGGCACTCAATACCGAATCGAATTGGACGCAAACATTTGTAACTAACTACGTAAAATTAAACAACGCTCAAGTCCTAATAATATATATAGTTAACTGGACAATTAACAACAGTTTCCTTTTGACACAATTCAAGGCGTGGACACATCGCCATTGGCATTGTGATCCGTTTCGTTATGTTCGAGCAGCTGCGTCCAACTGGCATTCGTTCGGACCACCTCGATGTCCTGCCGCAGCTGCTGGAGGGGAGCATGCAGCTCCATGGGCAGGCCATCGTCCAGGACACGAGACACATGCTCCAATTGATTGGCATAGATCCTAAGGCGTTCCACATTGTTGTTGTCCTGAGGCGAGTTTTGCACCTAAAGTCAAAGGAGAGATAGTGCTGATTTTGAACATATTTGAATTACTTTACTAACCTGACTACCACTGACGTTCTGCAGGTATCCGCTGACCCTTGGGTCCTGCAACTGGCCACCGGCCTGCCACATCTTGAGGAGATTAGAATGCCCAAAGTGTCGCCCTGCTCGGAGTCCTGATTCGGCGAAAGGAGCCTCATGGGCGGGAACTCCGTGGTGGGCGACAGCTTCTTGTAGCTGCTGCACAAGGTGCTCAGGGTGCAGATGTCCTCGTTCAGGCGCTGGCCAGGATTAGTGGATGAGGTGGTGGTGGGGATATGGGGTGCAGTAGAAGCAGTAGCGTGATGGTTACATTGGCAATTAGTTTGGTTTGTCTCGACTCGAAGTCTCATTTTAAACGAAATAGTGCGCTTTTGAACTTGATTTGGGACTGTGAACCATCGAGATGTCGTTGGATGATGTTTAAGAGATGGTAGAGTGATGATTGATGATTGATTATGTGAAATAAATTATATCTAAAGATCAACGATACGTCTACAAAGCAAGACAACTCAAGAGGTAAATAAGCCAAGTAATTTATTCAAATTAAGATCTACAACTAAATACTAAATGAATCAAATAAAATAAGATCGCGATCGAGATGGGTGCATAACATATGAGAATATATCTGACGGTAAACGATAACGATATATAGAAATGTCTTCGAAGGATGCGCAACAGAAAAGTCCACAAAATGCTCAGAGGCATCAAGTCTCTTAGAATCTTACGTCGATTTCGTTGCGATGCCGCTGCATTTCGGCCTTGGCTCCGCTCAGATCACTGCCCTTGATCATCAGCTCCTGGGTGGCATCCATGAGTTCGTCCTGCAGCTTCAGATTGACGTCCTCCAAGTCTTTTAGTTTCTCCAGCATGTCCTCCTTGTGCTGCTGCAGCTTGTTTCTGGAATGTGTAAAGATTGATCAATAAGTTAAGTTTAAGTTGATTTAAGTCCAACTTACTTGTCAACAATTAGTTGCTGTATGCAGTTGTCATTGTCCAGCTGTACCAGTCTCAGGACCTTGAGCAATTTGGTCACCAAGGTGTCCACTTCGATCACCTGATCTACGACTGCCTGGGCGGTGCTGTACTCCATCAGGAAGGCAGTTCCGCCAATTCAGCCAGCGAATCGTGGCAGCTCAGCTCCTCTGTGTTACACTGATCCCGAGGACTACGAAATATGGGTTAGAAACTACTGATATTCTTAGGAATCCAATATAGAGACTCACTTCATGGGCATGGCACTCATCTTATGCATGTGCAGCTCCATTTGCTGACGATTGGTGATGGCCTGGGACAGCTGCTGGAGGGAGTCATCGCCTCCACATCCATTGATATTGTTTTGATGGCTGCACTGGCTAATCAATTCCGTGGGCAACTCTATTTGGGAGATCATACCCGTGCAGGAGGAAACCATGTTGTGGGAATGGGAGTCGTGGTGTACGACATCCTCCAACACGTTGTCCATCATCAGAAGGCAGGGTTCCGTCTCCGAGTCCAGCATTTCCGTGGAGTCGGAGTCGTCTAGAGAAAATTATCAAATATATAAATATAAATAATAGAAGGGAAGTATAGCTTCCTACCCCCATTGCCTTGTGGCTCCTGACCCGTGGCTCCAGCTGTGCTCGTGGCCTGGGCAGAGCCTCCTCCCACTCCATTCCGTTTACCCGCCTGGCGAAGGGAAAGACGCTTGCCGGAGTGAGTGGTGGCCTGGCGAATGGCACCGATGACGGCGGCAATAAGGACTGATTGCGCTGCGGTGAAAGGGAACCATCACTGGCCAGGACGAGGGTGTGAATGGCATCCCATTAGCTGCGGGCAAATGGGCAGTCCAGGCCATTGGCCTTTGGCCGTTCTGAACCTGTTCCGACTCCGCCTGGAAGCGAATGTCCTGAAAAAGAATAAACAATGAGTTTTAAATCGTAATCATCAGTATAAAATAGTTCATTAACTCACCTCCAAGTCCTGCTCGGAAATACTGTAGGAATAGACCAGCTGCTCCACCAGTCCGTCCAGACGTGAGTGCAGTCCCGAAGGGCTGTGGAGGCTCCAGCCACCGAGGCATTCTGCTGGTGGATCAGCTCCCGGACTTGTTCTCCAAGGCGGAGTACTTTGTTTGTAGCAGGCGGTTCTCTTGACGGCGCTGCTCATTGAGTCTCACCAGATGTCGGCACTCGTCGCGCAGGACCTTGTCTCCTCCTCGCGGTTGGCCAGTGGGACTTGACTGCCTGATAGTCCGCCTCAAGCTCTCGCAGGGCATCACACTGTGCCGCCTTCTCGTGCTGCAGGAAATCCTGCAGTTCGCTCGATTCCTGTTCGATGGCGGCCTTCTCTGAAGGAGAACTTGCTGCGTGGCCAAGGATCGACGCATCTCCATCTGGAGGGCGCGACACATGGCCCTCAGCTGACCTATTTCCTGCTGGCGCTCAAATAGCTCGTGACCGCTCATCTGGATCTGTGATTCCAACATCAGGAGACTGTCGTGGCCACTGCCATCGCCACTGTCATCCGACGTGGGGGTTCCGGCACTGGCACTGACCACTCGGGCCAGCTCCAGCATGCCCATGACCCGCTCTGTGTTCAGGTGCACTCCTGCTGCATGGCCAGCTTTCCTCCCGTTCCCTCTGTAGTTTGCCACTCAGTTGGCGACCTCCTGACGCAGTTGCTCTATTCGGAGTCTCTCTGATCAGGTTCCGCCTGGTGCTTGATTCCGCTGCTCTACAGCATCCAGGGCGCGAGTCTGCAGAAGGCCACCGCCCAGAACTTGCTCCAAATCCTCGCTGGTCAATGCCGTTTGCACTGCAGTCTCATGATAGATTCGCGTCCTGGGCGTCACCGGCTGTGGTCTTCGCAATGAGTTCACTTTGGCGGTGGCGGGAGCCAAGCTCCTGCGACTCGTAGGAACCACCATACCGACGAAGTCATGCGGGCATCCACAGCGGCCGCACGACTGATGGAATTGCTCCTGGACAGGCGACCGACTGTGAGATCCTCCACGGACTGCTGCTTCCGGCGTCGGGCAGGTTCCGCCGGGCGCTGGACTTCCTCGCATCCGGTTGGCGGGACATCCGGGGTCACTGACATTCCACGACGAGCGCTCCTCGATTAGCGGCCAACGGCCATCGTCGGAGGGAGTGCCCGGGTTCGGGCCCGGCTCAACGAGGGAGTTCTCTGAACCTGGGCTAGCCGCTGGACAGACTGCGCTCGATTTAGGGCATTGGCAGGGTATCCGGTTTCTGAGGGCGTGTCAGGCGTGCAGATGTGGGCGTGGCCGTAGAACTGGGCACACGGAAGGAGCGGAGGACAGGCGCGATTTGTTGTTGTTGGCAGGTGTGGCAGGTGAGCCGGCACCGCACTGTTCCGGGGCAAGCTCTCGCTCTCTTGAGATTAGCCACCCGTCCTCGTAGTTGATCCTTGGCCGGCGTAGTTGCCGCCTGCTCGGGCTCGAACATGGCTACCTTCTTTTCACCGAACCATTTGTTCTTCGCGGCGGCGATGTTTTTCGCTGCCCGCCTCACTGGGCGTTTGGATGACCGTTGTGGTGGTGGTGCTGGTCACCTTAGCTCACAACTGTCATAGATATCCTCCAGGCCATTGCTGCTGGTGTAGCCACCACTGGTGCTGCTGAGCCACGTTGCAGGGTCACTCGCGAGAGGCAGCAACTGCTGGCCACATCCAGACCACTGTCACTGCCATCGCAATTGCTGGGCGCCACACCCGACTCACTCAGCTCCAGGCTGGTCATGCCCACCACCAGCTGCTGCTCCTCCAGGCAGATCATCTGCTCCTGCTGCTGCTGCGTTCCTCCGATTGCGATGCCATCTCGAAGAGAGTGGCGGACATGGCCAAGCTCTGCGGATAAAATCAGAAAGAGGTGATTGTTAGTAATCTACACTGATGGAAATAATGATTAACATAATTAATACTAATATAATATTAAATATATAATCTTATCTATTCATATTTCTGCAATCTATATTTAAGATATATTTTTAGTTGCTACTTAAAAATTCCATTCTATTGATATCTACAATCTAACTAATAAATACTTCTCCCTGTGCAGTGATTCACTTGGTTGCGACCCACATTTCGGGGATAGTATTTTTGGGATGCCTGGCATTTCGGACCGATCCCCATTTCCCGCTCCCATTCTCTCGGCATGCGACACAGCAGCTAAATGCAAACAAGTTGCATGCCACCGACCTTTTCCCGAATGCAAAAATAGGATTCTCGAGTACAATTCATTTTTTCGGTCAAGTTGCCCGGCACGCAACCAGAACAGATGGACGATGGACTTGGTCGATGGACATTGGACATTGCATCGTGACCGGCAGGACCAGTCGTTGGTTGTGGTGCCCCCCCGGCTTGTGATTGACTTGAACTAGTTCACAGGCGAAGGCGACAGTCACGACATGAAAAATGCATGAAGTGGGGCCAACACCTGCCGACATCCCAAATCTAACTGGGCCATTCGTCGCCTGGGTTTTGACGTAAATAAATTATGAGTAGCATTGTCTGGTGGGGTCGTCATCGTCGAAATACCCGTACCTGTAGTCGTAGTTGCACACCACACATTTTGTGTGTGTATGTTTTTTTGCGGTTGGTTCTGTGGCACGTTGACCCAACTCGAAGACAGCTGTGGCCCATCATTGCGGAACTTTCCAAATTCGCATCCAATTTGGCATGCCACAACATTGTTGTCCCAGAAGTTAGCTTCGCACCCTATCGCAGACATCATCATCATATTTCTAGTTACTTACATTAAGATACACACATGACCAGGTCGGTAGAGCATATTTATAAAGGGTTATGAAGCAAATTAAATTAGGTACAACTAAACTAAATTAATAAATACAATGTTTACTTTCTGGCTAAACGAAGAAGCTCTTCAAAACCATATAGCAAAAAATTCTTTGGTCAAAATATTAAATAACTTCAACCTCTAGTTCAGTATAGAGCATCCACTATTCCCCACTTTAAATTAAGTTTTATAATAATTTCCAGCATGTTTGGCTTTACATTACAGTCGCAGTTAGACACACGTCATTAGCGTCATGTTTGTTATGCGATCTCCCAGAGATTTGGCCAAAAATTGGGCGATTTCATCAGCGAAGGGAGATCTTAATGAAGTTGCTCCAGTTTTTCGTCAAATTGGAAGTTTATTTGAGGCGAATTACCGTACATTTGCGAGTGGCCAACAGACTGGCCAACTGCCAACCGGTTTGGCTGGCCGCCCTTCCGCTCCCCAGGTATTTTTCCTGTATTTTCTTTTCTTTGCTCCAGGTAGAAATGCCAGAAGATCCTGTAAACGGCCTTAAAGGCTGTCTCGAGTCGTGCCTGCCTGCCACTCGGGCAATGCTCGAGTTGACTTTAAAGGCCGGCTTGGACTCGTTTTCCGACATTCGACATCTAGACAAGACAGCCCCCTAATGAAGACCACTCGAGAGCGTTGAATGGGAAAGAATCCAAGGGCCACCTCCTCCGGCAAGGTCTCCTTCTCAATCTCTATTTTTGCTCTTCCTGCTGGGCGCCCCCAAGAAGGGCGCTAAAAGGGGCTAAGCGAAGCCATAAACAGTCACATGTCCACACACACACACACAAAGAAGTATTTCTGGATACTAACATACACACAATGTATCCGAAAGATACTGGATACACATTGTGGCTGCCAAGACTAGAAAAAAGGAAGGGCACTGGAATAGAGATAGTGTACGGGAACGGGAACGAGATCGGGAACGGAATGAAGTGTCGCCGCTAATCCACGAATCGATCCAAGTGCCAAGTGGCCCTGGCAGTGAAAGATGCAAGTCTGCCGAGATGCCAGAGAAAAAACAAACTCGTTTCGCATCCGAGGCTGGCGTTTTATCGAAGCCGGCTCTCCGGTCTGTCACTGTGTCTATGCCAAGGCGTTTGGCGGAATTGTGTGAATAAACCGGAACTGAAGCTGCATCTAAACACTGAGGGAAAAATAGATTTTAAAACACGACTTTATAAAAATATTCCTTTTAAAGCATATAGTTTCTTTTTAACAAGAACAACATTACCCCATCTTGAAGGGATTGTAAACTTATTGACAAGGCCAGACTTTTATGGCCAACTATCGTTTTCCATGTGCAACTTGCAACATTAAGTTGCCACATTGTTTCAATGGATAATAGTTCAAGGCGAAAGCTATAAAAGTACATAGGGAACCCACTCTATGGAACACATCGATGCCCGAGGAGAATGGAAACCCTTGAGGGCGATGTCGTCACGGCCCATTAACTCCAATCAATGGGCAAGTGTGTGGCTCTTCCTCTCGAGGAGGCCCTGCTAATTCGATTAAGACGCTCGGCAGAGCAAAAATAGAGACCCCAGGCTGGCGACGTCGCGATGTCGCTGACTTTGCCAAGTTAATTGCACTTAGCCGGGTTGCGTGGATGGCTAGGGGAAAATGGGAAAAGTCGGAGAGTTGCAAGTGCCACAAGTGGCGCGCTTAACGCTTCGCTCGGCATTAATTGCAGCGTTTGATGTCTCTGATGCGTTGTCTGGCGGTGACTGTCAAACTCCCCGATCTCCCAGAGATCTGCCATTCATCACGGATTAGCATCCATTCATTGAACTGAGAGGGGAGGACTCAACTCAACGATTTCGCTTAGAAGTGAGAGTTAAGCTGGATTAAAAGAGGTGCCTGCATAGGTAGCTATATTTACCACAACTCTTTTCATTTATAAACAACAAATTTATCACATATCTTTGCATCTAAATCGAATGCTGATCCGCGGAATTCAACAGATTATCGCATCTACGTCGTCGGTCAAGCTATTTTTCTGGGAACCGCTCGGCAATTTGTCCTCAATTATGCATTCCCACACAAAAAGATACATACATATACGAGTATGATGTACAGACTCCAAATCACATGACAATTGCGACCTGCATCTGCATAAACAGTGCGTTTCACAAGTATAAGAACATATTCAAGATATTTAATAAATTCGAAATGTTTCACATAAAGTAGGAAGCTAATTTTGGGTTCAGAAAGCCAGCTAGTTGGATAGAAATTATGAAGATTTAAGGAAATATTCTAGGTTATCATTTATATGCTTATGGATATGAAATTGAAACAAGTTTCCTCTTTAGTATCTTTCCAATAGAATAAAAATTGAAGGCTAGATTTGTCACTCGTTTTCGAAACGCACTGCCCTTGCATGAGATTATTTATGCGATCTCAGTTCCTTGGTCAGTGATTCCGTGCCACATGCTCTGGACTTTTTCCAATCCGAATAAAAAAGGGGAAATACAAACATTCGCTTGCATAAATTTCTCCGCTGTCCCCTGCCTGTTTGTTGTGGCAGTTGCATTGAAAACAATTTATTTCCCCATACAGAGAGTATTTAAAGCAATTTATTTTGTGTCGTTCGCTTGGGGACGGGTATTAGCGGAACCCCTGGAACCCCGAATCGTTATCCAGATGGTTGCAGCTCGTAAAACCCAATTGATATGTTATTTTTAGTGGGGGAGGGATTTTAGTTCTGGTGATGGTTAATTGACATGGAACTGGGTGTCATTGGTGGAGAATAGAACAGGTGGGGACACCGGTGAAACGTGGGCAGCGAGCTCCACTCCCCGAAAAGCGTTTTTCCAACGTTTTGTTGTTTGTCAAAGCACTTCCTGTGCCGCCAGCGATCCACGAAACTCTGACTGAAACTCCAACTGAAACTCAAATGAAGTGAAACATTTGTGCCGCGAATTACAATCGAGTTGCCCCCGGTTGGTGTCCGCTGTCTGTACCACACCCCCTTTTATTTTTTTAGTAGTTTCAGCCCGCATCTGCTGAACAGCCGAAGCAAACACCAGCCCCTCCACCACCACCCCCGTTGCAGTTATAATGAGTTGCAGTTGCAGTTGCAAGTTGTGCGCACAGTTTTCCTCTAGGGGGACGAACGTCAATTGAAAACTGCTCAACACAGTGAGAAAATTGTACAAAATTATGTGTATTAAATGAAATAAATTAATATAATAATATAGGGTATTTCAGAAGACAATAGAACTATATGGAATTGTTCCTATTATAAAGACGTATTCCTAAATCATAGAAAAGATAATAACATTTTATTTTCATACAAAAATCAAATTATGTTTCTTGCTCTTTCCGAAAAAGTATCAAAATAATTAACTTTTTTAATATATATACAAACTTCAATAAGAACCCGATTGATTTTGAAACATGTGTTCTTTTTTTCGACCAGTGCCAATGAGTTTATATTTCGAAGAAGGGGCCAAAGGAGACCTTTGGAGGGGGAAATGTGGCTGAAGTCGGAAACTTCTCGACTCTTCCGGGTTCTTTCCCTCGTTCTGGCCACGTCCATGTTTTGGTGATTCTTCGTTCTGCATTGCACCTGCCGACTTATCGCGCATTATGCACACCAGAGCGGACCAGAAAATTGTAAGCATGATTTTCTAAATTTTAGCCGATTCCCTTGTCTCGACTTTGCGGCTTTTCTTCAGTTTTTCCCCTCCTCTACTCCTCCTCCTATTATATTTTCCTCCCCCAAACAGTTTCAATTTGTTTTGGGATCCATCTGTATATGTGTTTTGGGTATCAAAGAAAGAATAACTAAGACCCAAAAGGGAGGCGGATTCGAAATCAGTGGACGGAGGGCGTGGTGGTTCCAGCTGGCTGTCACGAATCCGGGGTTTCTTGGGGCTTTCGGGGATCGGGTTTGAGGATCGGGAATATGAGTATTATGCCTTGGGATTGGGCATCCAACATTGGGCAACCATAATTCGAGTACCAGAAAAGGGGAGCAGGAAGAATCGGCCGACTGGATCGCTTTTTGAAGTTTTGCCCCTGGGTTTATTGTTGTTGATTTAGACGCCGCAGTCATTGTTGTTGTTATTGTTTTTCTTTGCTGCTACTTTTTTTTAGTGCCTTAAACTATAAACAATTTTTATTTTGGCGGCTTCTCAGTCAACGGCAACGGCACGCAAAAGTTTCGCTTTGCATTTGTTGGAAAGTTTTGGCCAGATTGGGCAATAGTGAAAATAAGCTAGCTTCATAGGCTGGAAAATGCCTTAGATTTTAGGATTGGACTGCATAAGTGATTAAGTAAATGCATTAAAAATTGCATTTCCTTAGTTCAAGTTTTATAAAGACATTGCTAAACCCAGAGTAGTTATAAATGATGAAGGTTTAGTACAAGTCAGCATGTTTTATGTTATTCACACTTGTATTATGTTCTTTATTTTTTTTATATTAATCAGGGATTTCTGATCATTTATCAATATTTTTTGAGGTGGATAAAACTCGTCAAAATACTACCATGATTTATGTTCTAATAACAAAAGCAAACAAGAGCCAGAAAAAATATATCTACAGATTGAGACGTTCTAATTTTCCAGCAGAAATTAGTCACTTGATTTATGAAAAGACTCTTCTACAAATTTGAATTATTTTAATGTCCAAAGAAACTCCACTCTGTGTAAGAAAACCAAACAAAACTGCCTCTGGAAATGTCCCAATTAATCATCACTCCCGCGCTGTTTATAAATAGCGTCTCAAAGACAGATTCGATTGAAATATACTTTTTTGCCAAATGTGAAGTTGCTGCTGTGTGACAAATGCTTCGTCGCACTTGATTTTGTTTTAACGCAAGTACACATCCGTACATAGATGTGCCATGAGGGCGGAATATCGTGCGTTGGCCTGGCCCAAAAGCGAACCGGAATAGACCAGAGTGGAGCGGAATGACACGGTGACTATGGACTATGTAGTACCGCTCGCTCGGTTCGCTCTCTTTTGTGAAACTCCCGGCTTAATTAACAACCCATTGCGTTGGCAATTACGCCAACTACTAAAAATTATTTGTCATATGCCAGAGAAAGTCGGGATCGCGGCAGCGTCTTGATCTCCATCGTTTGATGTCTGTGGCCTTATGGCAACCTGCTCTCTTAACAGTTTGGATATCAAGAAAATGGCTTTTTACGACATGCCATAATACACATAGTTTTCATACCGATCCGAATAAAAACAGTGAGTACAGTACAGACTGGTGTACTTCACGCTCGGCGGACTTTTTCAGCGGCATGCGCCACACGACACTCTCCACCGGCGGAGCCGGAAAAAGGGGCAGCATGGAGCGGGCGGTCTTGACCATTGACCAGCGCCGCTCCGAGTTGAGCTTGACTGGAGGCAATCCATAAAACCAAGGCAAAACGCAAAAGACCACACAGGCAAAAAAAATCTTCAAAAATACGAGTTCACAGAAAGAAACTGTTCTTGCCAAAAAATGTGGATAGCACCAGATTGCCAAGAAAAACAAGACTTGCTTTTTGCAAAAATTTGTCGAAATTTCTTCATGACAGTAAAAAGGTGTTGTTCTTAACAAATAAACACTTTATTATTTATTTATTTAACTAGCAAGGAAATAGAAAACCATTAACGAAAGATTGCAACTTTGTTACATAGATTATACGAATTGAAGTTAGAAAGTTTTATATAAAAACATATTTTATTCATTAGGGGTTCATTTGTAAAAGAAATGTATTTCTTTACTTGTAAGTACGTAAATGCATATATCTAATTACTTTCTGTTTTAATTTCCAGACATACAAAATACCTTTCCACATATATTATTTAGCTATCTTTTGGATATGATATGATAACAGTATACATTCTATATTGTATGTATATTTTTAGGTACTCAAAATTCCCCATTGATAAGCCACAAATGGTAATATTTTTGTATAGCAATATAATTGATGATTGTTTTGATCTATTTTTACAAAAAAGGCATATAGTGGGATTGATAAAATGAATGGAAAATTTGATCCACAGAATAATCATATTAACAAATAGCAATGTAAACACTGGTATACTTAGTTTTGATGGTTATTAATTATAGACAAAACTTTAATGATATAAATATATACAATGAATTACAACGATATTTTTATAGAGTATTATAATTTTAGTAAAAAGCTTGTGAGGATGTGAAGTTCCCATTTCCGACCCTATAAGTCATATATATTCTTACATCGCTTAAATTTTCGAACTGAAAACTTCGGCATCATTAAGTTAATTTCATTTATTTTAATGTTTAATATTTCGAATATTTTTTAGACCATCAAAAATATTATTTGCCATAAAAAATATATCAAAAATCTGTGTAAAGTAGCTAATATTTTATCACAGTGCAGGAACCGCCTAAAGCGGCATAGCCAAAGCGAATGGAAAGCATCTGGCGGCCGGCAATGGAAACAGAGCTGGAGACAGAAAGACGCCTGAAAGTCTCGCCTGAGAGCCTCGCTCATTGTCAAAGCGTGTCTCGAGAGCTTTGGCAAGGTTCCAGGCGGGTCCAGAATTGTTCTCGGAGGGGTCCATCCTCCATTCCCCCCTGAAATGCAATAACAGTATCTCTTTTGTCTGGCGTAAGGCGATATATGTATGTAGCCTGAATTATGCTCTGCTTTTGCCCTCGTTTATCGTGTTTCATACTCGCGAGGGTTCCGTTCCAAAATCGAAAACGAGGCAGAAAATCTGGCCATTCAACTGACCTTGAAACAACCCAGACATCTTGGGTGTATGTGTGTGTCTCTAGACGATTATATAGAGTCTTATATTATAGATACTGCAAAATTAAGACAAGTTTTAGGGGGTTCACAGCAACAAAATAAAACAGGCTCGAGCTGCTAAAATTCGCACACTTTGAAACTTGTTTATCATAAATTATACCCATTGTTATTGAGAGGTTTGCTAATCGTACATTTATATGCCGCTTATCGACACAAAATTCATAGAAAATGCACTCCTTATCTCCAGAGAGAGAGAGAGAGAGAGTGTTGGGGGACTCCAAAAGTGGTAAGAATTGCTAAAACCAGAAAATACAACTGATAAGTCCCTATCGGCGAAAGGCAAGTGTTTGTATGGCAAATCAAAATGTGTCACTCGCAGAAACGAGGCTCGTTTCTTACGACTCTCTCAGCGGAAACTGCATTAATTGTACTTAATTAGCGTTTTCCTCAACGAACTCCGCGGTAATACCCTCCCCCGCTCCGGGAAGCAAATTGTCGCATTATGGAGTAACGGACGGCATGTCCGCTGAGCCCCATCGATCGAGGCTTATGAATATGGTAAACGCCACTTAACCGGCCACAAAGCACGGGAAGAAATAATGCCAAACATGATCAAAAATCTCTTTGAGAAGATCTTCAACAAAAATAATAAATGTTGGTAAGAAAGCGATTATGTTAACAAAGCTGAGATATTAAATGCTCTGGAAAAATTATATATTATAAATTATCAATAGTATCTTGTAAATCAAAAATCCAATCAAATTGATTAAAGTGGAACAAAGTACTGAATCACAATAAGACCAATATATTTGTTTGCCATCTAAATGGGGAACCGTCATGTTGACCCAGCTTTGGCATAACTTTTTTGTTCCCAGTGTTTGTGACTCTTTAACTGAGTGACTGACTGACGGACTGACTCAAATTGCACTCTTCCTGATTGCTTCGTCGCTTCAAAATCGATTATCGTTGAAGTCATGCAACTGAAATTATAGCTGCCACACCAACTATGTATGTATATATATGAATATAGTATGTATCGGTGAAGTTAACGCTGCATAATGAAGCGGGACGACGTGGCTAGGATATAAATACGGAAGCTGGAGTCGCGCTGCCCTGACCTTTTTAATTTCAACTAAAAACCAAAGCCACACGACGCCAAGACATGAGGCTTGCCACCTCTACCCGCACGCCACAACCACCATCGTCACCCACCGAATGGGACGTGGTGGCTCCATCTCAGTTGCAGCTCATATTCGATAACCACTTTCTACCCGCCAATGAGTTACAGTGGAACTCCCACTACTTGTGTCATAAAGATATGGAAACTTTTAATAAAACTATTTAAATTTGATTTGAAAGTAAATTGTAAATGGATGCCAATCTTATTTGTATATATTTTAGTGGTTCGTAAACCTGATTGGCATTATTTTATTGACGTATTTAAAAATCCAATTAAATACTTTCATGTAAGCATATAAAATAAACCAGTTGATAAAGTAATTAAAAATGTAATATGGAGTTCAATAGCCCTGATAAAGTGATAAATATAATTTAACAAGAAGGGAAACTAACTTCGGGAACCCAAAGTTTATATACTCTACCAATTTGCAATTAAATTATTGGATCAAATCAGAACTCTAACCAAACTAAGCTTAAAATAATTGCTTTCTTTGACTGAAATTTTAATACTGTAAAAGAGTTCAATAAATATATGTAATAAATTTAATACAGAATGATGTGATTTAGAAAAATTATCATTAATATGGTGAGGATAATAATAAACTTAATTAACATGAATTTATTATACCCAATCCTATATTTATTTTTGATCCCTATTTTAATAAAGTTTAAGCCTTGTTTTGTTTCCTGATTCCCCTTCAACTTGTATATTATGTAAATATATTTCCTATATCTCGAGATCTTTAAAAAAAAAACATTATCTTAATATAGAGTTACCACTGTAGTTACTCACCCACGGAGTTGGAGTTGAAGGAGTAAAACTGTGCCAAGCGATTGAGGCTGCTGGAGTTTGGTTCGTTGATTCGTTCGCTGTTTTTATGTTTTTTTCTTTGTTTTGTTTGTTTGTTTGTCGAATTGTTGTTGAGGTTGTTGTTTTCTGCGGCTGTTCCTTCTTCAGTGGGCGACGATGGAAATGTCAGAGGGTCGAGGCGTTACGGCCTCCCAGGGCATTCTCTTTTCGACTTTGCTATTTCCCCGCTGCCTGATAATTCTATTATTGCTCTGGCTCTCTTGGGGGGGAGTGCAGAAAATGGATGGCAGCGAGTCGCGGACGGAAATTTGCGAATTTAGCGCTTCAATTTTGTGCAAATTGAATGCACAAACACACTCACACGCACAGGCGGCAGCGGAAGGAGGGATGGAGAGATGGGAAGAAATATGGAATTATCACCCCGGAGTTCTCTCTCTCTCCCACACACACACATACACGCGCGAATTCCAGTGACAGCTGCAGGAACTGGAAATAGGAGAGAACAGGAGCGTGAATGAGTGATCACTTAAAGGACGAGTTCCTGTCGCACGTTCTCTTATTCCCTCTCTCTCTCTCTCTCAATATGGTTTGTATCCTTTTGTTGTTCCGTTTACCTAACCCAACGGTTTATTTGTATTGCCAGGACTCGCACTCACACACCAACACATACACAACACACTGCAGCTGAGCGCTCAAAGGAAAAATCGATGTTGAATCTGCAAATTAAAAGTATCCACCGCACATCGATTAATTTGCCGCTAGAGTCTCTCGTTTTAATTTAGTTTTTCAGCCAGAAAAAAAAGAAACAACATAAGGCTTCGGTGGAAAACCCGTTCCTCGCGCAGGAAAAGCGAAAATGGAAAAGCGGCTGAATGAAACGCGCCCACTTGCGGAAAACAACAAGTTTTGGCTGTTTAAATACGAATAAAATCGATTTTCATTTAACAAATTTAAGAACTTATGAGTTTTAATTATTTAAATTTAAGTTATGTCTTGTATATATTTTTGGGTCCACTAACACTTCAGCACTTCTTAAATTTTCATACCGGTTCCTCGAAAAATTCCTTCAATTGCCGTAGGGTTTTTTTTTTTGTATATCGATGTTTTTAAATTATTATTTTAGGAGGAACCGAAAACAGCGCGCGCTGCAGCGCTCTCTCGAAAAATTACAGAGAGAGCAAGGTGCGGGTTGCTTATATAGATTTTTCCGCATTTAGAGCAGCCGTATAAACGCTGTTTCAAAATACCAAAAACGCTTATTTCTTATATACTGTGTTTATGCGTAGCCGAATTCAAGCAGTAGTTCATGAACATAACCAGAAAATTAATGTGCACCATATTAAAAAATAAAAATTTTTAAGGAAAAATTATTTTAAACGAAATCTTTAAACCGGTTATCATGGTATAAAACACATAAAACCGGTAGCAGTATGGTCGTTTGTTGTATATATAGCACCAGCCATGCGGTATATTTCTGAGACAAGATACATACCAACTGCCATAGTGCGCTATAGTCTTATACGACATCTTATACATCTTTAGCGCCAAGTTTGAATTTACTTTATTAGGCTCACACAGCATACTTTCAACAATTACTAAGATTATATCATATAAGAAAAATATATTGTTTTTATTAAACATAATATAATTTAAACTAATTTTTGTTCTGTTTTTTATGTTTTAGAACTTCTTTATTTCACAATTGTATTTACGTGCATATAATACATATTTAAAATTTTAATGGTTGGTATTTAAAAAAGTTTCGATTCTATATGTATAAATATTTTAATTTTGATACATTATGATGAGAATAACTAATAATAACTATTAAAAAGTTTTTGTCATTTCATTTTTTATTTTTATTAATTAATTTTTGGGTTAAGTTACAAATTTTTAAAACACCTGACACGTATTTTACAATTCCGCGAAATAGCTCTTCTAAAAATAAACGATGACTCCCTTGATTTTGTGTTTTAGATAATTTACGATTATAATATTATTAATTTTAAATAAATTCTAGGTTTGTGAGTTACAATAAACTTAGTAAAGTATTTCATTTTAAATTGAAATATTTGAAGCTCAATTTGTGTTTCAAATTACATAATTTTCTGAAATACGTGATATTTCACATGAAAAAGTAAAGCTAAAATAAACACATGACGTCACCTAATGTTTGCATGTGTTTGTGTATTTTGTTGATAAATAAATGAATGCAAATGTTTACATAGCCAAAGTAGAGATAAGCTTGGCGCCAAAGTTGCCTATAAAAGCAGAACGGCGAGAGGCCAGAGAAACCAGTCGAATTCAAGTGTTCAGTGAACAGTACATATTATAAAGAGTTCCAGTAGCAGCAGTAATAGTTCCAGCAGCAGCAGTTAAATTACCAGCAGCAAACATCAACAGTTCCAGCATCAACACCTGTAGTTACAGCAGCAGTTCTAAGGCAGGTGTTAAGTGAATTCCTTATCGAGTCAGGTGTAAATCAGTGCAGAAATGTCGCAATCCGATAACGTGGCACGTGAGCAAACTGCGGCAAATCCGATGCCCGAGGCATGTCAAGGTTGCCGCGGCCAATTGCCACGCTCCACGCCCGTGGAAGTGGAGGACATGGCCACGACCCCTTCGATAGAGAAACTCATCCGGAAGGCCACCATGGCCCAGAAAATGCTGAGCGATGTGATGCAGCAACTCCAGAAGCAGCAGGAATCTCAGGTGTCGCACAAGGAAACCAAATCCAAGGCGCTGCGAAGCTCTGAAGGAGGTAAAAGACGGCACAGGGGACGCAAACATGGTCATCACAGTAGCTCCTCTTCCAGCTCCATTCCGCCATAGTGACTGCGAGTTGATTCCGCCGAGCAGGAGCCGGAGATCTCGCATAGGAGGAGGCATGTCCGCGAGGATCGTAAGCGTGATCGTTCCCGATCCCGTGGCCGTTCCCGTGGTCATTCTCGTGGCCGTTCCCATGGGCGTTCTCGTTCCAGGTCCTACACCGATTCCCGACGATCCCGAGCCCTGCCCCTGGCTCTGCCCGTTCGGATTTCCGTGTGAGTATCCTGGCTTCAATCAGTATTATCCTTTATCATTATTAACTTTTAAGTGAGCACATAAATAAAAACCCAAAAAAATTAATAAAAAATTATCTTATATGAAAATTATTAAAATTGTTATTATTTATTGTTATCGGGCGGTTTTTTGTACTGGAATATGAAATTTCAATACGAATTGGAGTTCTTCTGGGGATTATAACATGGGAACACAAATGCTATCATTTGCAGCATTGGCATTATAAAGATAGGTGTATTAATTCCCATAAATTATAAAACATTATTTAATTAAAAGAAATGTATGCCAAATTTAATGCAAGAACTGTATCTTACAGTATAAAATAAATTATCTTACCTTATACTAAAGTTAACTCCAAAAACTTGAATAGAATAAAAGACACTCCCATTTATTTTTAAATATTTCTTATATTTTTTTAAATGCGGTTTGTTTTTACATTAATAGTTTTTATTTTGTAGTTGTTGTGCTAATTATATGTTAAACATAAAAATTGTTTCTTCCCCTCGTATATGTACTTGGTTTTGTTCTCATTTTGATTGTGATCTATTAAGTTAATTTTCTCTTTTGATTTGTAGACTTTGCTGTGAGGTTGCACCTTGCAGTCGCAACTTGCTGTTGTTGTTATTAATAAATTCGTAAAATTCGATGTTGAATGTAATAAACCATTTTCATTGCTTCGTACAAATAAATTCATATAAAAAAGACCGACTAAAACCCGACTGCGGCATTAATGTCGCCGCACCGCAATTGCTATATAAACAAAGAGTGCTGTTTTCATTTTATATTCCAAAAAAAAAGAGTCTTAAAAAAAGTTTTGGGCTGGGACCTGGGCCCAATAAGTTTGCCCCCAAAAGTGAACACCTTAATCTGCGACTTTATGCTGTGGTGTGGATTGTGTGACTCTAATTTGTATGTTCATAATTCATGGCTTCTATTTATACTCGCTTTTCATGGCTTGCATTATTTTATTGTATACTCGTAATTTATGAGAGCTTTTTTCTAAAAACAAATTTTGGCACATGGTTTCCGAAATGGGTTCGATACGTTCGCTCCTTTACCGCTCCTATTTGACTGTTTAATGGGTTCCTTATGCTTTCGTAGGCTAGTTTAAAATACAGCTACGTACTCGTATTACTTGGATTATTCGATACGAACTAAGAGTTATGTTAATTTGTAGTTTGTTTGTCTGCTCCTAACTTGGCTTTCGTTCCTGGCCTGCTGCTGCTGCTTCTGCTTGATTGAGTGTTGTAATATTTCGAAATTTGATTACGATTTGTATTTGATTCTCCTATCGTTTAATTCGCTTTTAAAAACATTTATCTACAACTCTGTATCGACGAATGAGACGACAGCTTATTGTAATGGAAACACTAATGTGTGGATACTGGCGATATCATGTCATATTATCTATGAATACTGCGTTGAATTCAAATTCAGCTGGCGACATATTCGAGTGTGTGTGTACATCGGCTATATCGAATACATTTAGTTAACATTTTCATTGTGGCTTTACTTGGTTTCTATTTTTGCTTTTATGCTTCTGTTTCTGTGATTTTTTCTCAGTGGAATCATGCATCATTGTCAGTCCTTTTGGGGTTCGATTTTTTGATTATTTACAAAATATACTCAGATACTCTACCTGTACGTGGATTCGCTAACAACTAGATGTATAGAGAGTATTCTTCGATTGTATATATACTATATCTCGAGTATCGGTATATATAGCCTATATACATGAGCACACGACTGTCTCATAACGTAGACACATAATATATAAATATACATTCATATAAATTTGTACACAGCATATATGTATATCTGAGTGTTTTGGTTTAGTTGAAATTTCAAGATTAAATTCCTCGTTTCATCGCTTCATCGGGAGAGCACTACAAAACCGAAACTTACTACTTTAGGAGTAGCTATAGCCCAGAAACACTCATTACAAATCGGGACACATCTATCATATAAGATCATCCTTTTACTCCCTAGACATACATGGGGGAAAACAGTTCAAGTTCAAGTTCAAGTTCGAGTTCGATACGATAGTATTCGATAGCTTTGCAGTTAGTAGTTTGAGTTACAGTTTCGAGTGATTAGTCATTACGGATACTTAAGAGACTACGTTAGTATATGTACATACAACATTTTTGGAAGTTCGACAACTGACCTGGGTTCTGTCTCTGGACACATGCCATTCATATAATATATATATACTATAACTATATGTATAGTAGCATGCACAATCGTTAATACTTAGATATATTATGACCTCTATAAATACGGGCAGGAGTTTATAATGGGAAGTGTTTGATTCGGTATGCTTTGGTTTGGTTTTGGTTTTGGTTTTTGGCTGTGGGTATGGTTATGGTTATGGTTTCATGGATGGTTGGTGCAGAAATTTTGATACTGATTGTCCGAAAGTTTACTTAGTGTTGCTTAGGAGGTTTATTTTTTGTTTTTACTGGATATTGGGGTCTCTTCCAAAAGGGGGAATATAGTGGAGATACGGGGGCGAGGGCTTGGTGGCAAGGTAACAAATGCATTACAAAAATGTACAAAAGGGGAGGCTGATCAATTTCGATTTCGCTGAGACTTTTGGCCATCGGGCGGCCTGCTGGGCTTGGCCTGGGCCTGCCGGCCCTGTCTCATCCTAGATGCTGATCCTGCGATCAGATCTTACCAATGTCTCAGACGGATATCGAGTAATCCGATTTCTCGCTTAGCAATTTCTGGCCAGGAGCGGGTGAATGTTGTTGTTGACGTTGCTGTTGCAGCGGCTGCTGTTGTTGCGGCTGCGGTGACTTTGAATGCGCTCTCTTGTGTGGTTGCTGCTGGTGATCCTTTGACTGATGCTGCTGCTGGTGATCCTTCTGTCGCATCTGCTGCTGCTGCTGCTGCTGTTGGTGATCGAGCTGCTGCTGTTGCTGCTGCTGCAGCTGGGAGGTGGTGGAGGAGGGTCGCGACCAGAGCGAAGAGCGCTGCCCGAGCTTCAGCTTCTTGATCGTATCCACATCGCACTCGACCTCGGCCAGCTCGATCCGCTCGCCTAGGCCGCTGCCACTGCCGGTGCCACCGCCTCCGTCCTCAGTGCGATGGAAGGCGCCGCCGGCGGCGCACTCGGCCTGCAGCTGGAGCGGATGCAGTGTGCGCAGGATGCCGGCCCTGGATGCGTGTTTCATTTGGGTGGGGAGGGTGGTGGGTGGCAATCGTTGCGGGGTGAACGGGGGTGCAAGTACAAGAGAGGGTCCAGAGTTGGATTTTTTATGGTTTGCTTCTATTTTTTTGTTGTTGTTTGGTTAGGTTCGCAACCACAGCATTCAAGCATTCATTCAAAGTTTAAGACCTAGTGGGTGGTGTTCTAGTCTGGTTGTGTGGTTGGGTGTGCGTGGGTGGGCCACAGTTTTCACGACCAAATGATCAATGAAGAGCTCTCTTGGAGTCATATTTTCTAGGTATCTCAGACTAATGAAAAGACAGCTATCCTCAAAGTTCAAAAGAGATTCTACTTAAACTCTGTAGGACAATGGTTTAAAATCCTGCTTGATTTGATCCATTTGGTCGCGAGAACTGAGCTTAACGGGCCCCCTCGGGGGGACCACACACCTCACCGTAGGCCAGGTCTCATGTCTGATCTATGGGGTCCATGTAGGTGCAGGAGATTTCGCCGCTGTCGTAGCCGAAACCGTCCATGACCCCAATGGTGCCATCAACATATTCACTCCCCCCATTGGCCGTATCCTATTTGGGCAGCGTGGGTGCTGTGAAGAACTTGGACGAGAGCATGGCCGTTGAGGGATTAAGGAGCGTGCCCTGGAGCTGCGATTGCTGCTGCTGGTGCTGCAGATGGCTGTTGTGATTGTGATTGAGGTTGTGATTGAGGTGGTGCGGCTGTGTCTCATGCGCGGGCATTATGGACTTGTGCGGAATGGGTCGGAATTGTGATGAGGGTGGCATGCAGGCAACCAACGGGCTGGCACCGATCCCGTCCAGACCCAACAGCTCCTGGGCCCCATTGGGCCCAGACTCCAGCTGATGGAGCTTGGGCGTGATCAGCAGGGGCTGCTGTTGCTTCAGACTACTACTGTTGTTCTGGGAGGAGGATGAGCTACTATGCTGATTACTGGGATGGTTACTACTGCTCTGCAACTGCTGCTTGTGGAACTGTTTCTGCTGCTGTGTACTGATCGATGGCGACTTGACCAATGTGGGTATGTGGCACTGTATGGAGTCTTGGGACTTGAAGGTGCTCGATATGGACTTCAGGTTGCCGCCGCGCGGCGATAGAATTTTGTTCGAATTGCTCGATGTCGATGTCGATGGTGTGGCAGTCGTATTGGTGGCTGTGCTGTTGGTGTTCGTATTCGTATTCGAGTTGGTGGTGGTGTTGTTGTTGATCTTGTTGCTGTTGTGGTGACGCGGTGTGGTGTTGGTGGAAAACTGATATTGCTGGTGATGATACCTGGAGCGACCGCGGCGGGGCAATGATTTCTGTTCGGACATTGGTGACAGATCGGAGGAGGTGCTGGACTGTGCTCCATGGTAGATGATGCCTGCACAGGAGCAACAACGGGAGCAACAGATCGGGGTGGATCATTGATGATGGATCGCAGATGTCAAGTGGGAAGAAAAGAACAGAAAACAAAGAGCGGGCTGATAGAGAGTTCTTCGTACTTGTTGCCAAAAAAAGGGGAGTTAAAAAACAGGCTTCAAACATTAAAGAAACTTATTGCTAACTTAGCACTATAATTCACAAATCGGATTGCCTTATACGTTAGTCTTATTTGTCGGCCTGATCTGGTCTGGTTGGTGGTTGGTTGGTTGGTTGGTGTGATTTGATTGTTGGTTTTTGGTGCTGTGTCAGTTTGGCCTACTACAGATATGTAATCGATATATTGTGGTTTGGAAAGTGTTGTATAAGTCTAGAGTCTGCAAGAACAAAGCAACACAAGAAGAGAATTCAGCTGGCTTTAGATTTCTTGAATTATAAAGCCGGGAAAACTGAAAACTTAAAGCGATCACAGTGAAAGCTCTCAGAAATGTATTATATTGGAAACTTTCTTCTGAGAACTTTCACCTTTGCAGATTCTAGTCTTATTCTACTGACATATGATCAGAAATATAGGATTTACTTGACAAATTTTTTTCAATTTAAAAGTTACAGATACAAATTTATTCCTGATATTTTTTCAGTAGAATAAGCTGCATGCCACAAAAATTTATTGATCTGAGGCATCCCAAAAATCCTCCCCTTTAAAATCGACTTGAACTTACTGTGCTTGATCTTGCCCTCGTGCTGATTGGAAGACTCGGTGCGACTGGAGGTCAGCTGGTCCTGATCCGACTCCGATTCCTCGCTCTCTGGCTCCGTCTTCCGCGAGTGACGCCTCCGGTTCTTGGACTGCACATGGAACGAAGTGGGAGATTAGTCTGATACTGGATCTACCGCCGGGTAGGTGGCAGCTAGCGACTACAAAAGCGCCAGGGGAATGGAACGCTTTTTCAAACACAAAAAGAAAGGGTTTACTCGAACTCAAGATTGATTGGAGGTGACACATGACACATGAGGCCGGGGGGCATGACATGGACCCCCTCGGTGCATGGTTTACGGCATTGCAAGTAATCAACTGAAGAGGGGAATGGGTAAACCGGGATACTAGGAACTGGAAACTCTAAACTGAAGAGGGCAACAAATACACGAGCAGAGAACAACGTAAAAAGCACGTAGTATGCAGTACACTTAGGAAAATCACTAATCGTATGCCTTGAAGGCATACGGATCGAGTGGAGTAGAGTAAGAGTAGAGCTAAAATCAAAGAAACGAACAAACAAACGCACGATATTATGGAACGGTGAGGTCTGATAATAATTATGAATTGTCTTTAGTGGACGTTGGTGGTGGTGGTGGTGATGGGTGGTGGTTGGTGGTTGGTTCAGTACCGCGGCTGGTGGTGGCGACGAGCAGCCCTCGGCCAAGGCCCGCTCGTGGTACATGAACGAGTGGAGCAGCGTGTTGGCCGGCCCGCCATGATGTGGCTGTGACATATTGCCTCCAGCCTCCGATAGCTGGAAGGTGGCATACGGCGAGATGTCCTCGGAGGTTTCTGTGAAATATGTCCCCCAGGCGTTAAACAGAGCTGATCGAGTGGATGTTATAGAATATAATAGACATGGGGTGTCACAAGAAATCCCTAGGAAATAATGAAGGAACTTATTCCTGGAACTCCGATTTAAATGGTTTTTTTGTTTATTAAAAAACTCAAAACAATTCTTTCGATTATTGTGACAGACCCCTTCCCAAACCCCGATACTTACCTGGAATCTTGTCATTATTCTGCATGGAAACCTTGTGAATAGTGGCATAGTAGCGCTCCCTTTGGGCAGCCTCCGAGTTGGCCCTATTCTCCAGGGACTCCTTCTGAATATGGGTGCTTTGCTCTGCAATCGGTTGTTGTGCATTTTTTAGCACTAAAACAATTAATGGATCTCTGCATTAACACAAGTATTTTTCATTGGGACTTACTGTGCCGGTAGCAGACGATGACCATGATGATGGTGCAGATCATTCCGGAGAACGCAGCAATGCTCGGAATGAGCAGGTTAATGTTTCCCAATATCACAGTTGGTCCCGATGGCCACGATGCACTACGTCCGCTGAAGGCGGATCACCATCCTTGGTGAGCGTGGCAAAGGAGAACTCTGCCTGGGACACACCAGCCACGTTGTGAGCCTCCATGCGAAGATGGTAAAGGCTCGATGGTCGTAGGTTGTTTACCACTACACGACGTTGTGGCTTGATGGCATTTGATACTGAAGGCAAGGGAAATAAGAAGTATGATATGATATGACCAGTAAGTAACAATGATCAGTTAATAACTATGATGAGTAATTAACTCTAAACAATAAGTAACTATGATCAGTAAATATCTGTGACGACTAAATATTTATGATCAGTTACTAACTTTGAACACTAATAAACAATGACTTGCAACTTTTGAAACACAACACATATCTGAAACTTGGCAGGCAGCAGTAGCTTCATTCCGGGGATGTTAGAACAATTTGGGAATCATATGCACAGATGTGCGAGATTTGTTTTGGAACAAATTTAAGAGCAAGCTATTTGAATGAAACTGTGGAGGTACTCTTCTATATAATTTTGCTAGTATACAAATCGGACCATGGCGAATCGGTTGACTATATATAAAGATATATATAGCTGACATAGGAACAATCGGGCGATTTATAGAACTATGCTCAGTAATTAAGTATGAGCAGTAAGTAACTCTGAAAAGTGATTATCTATGACCAGTAAGTAACTCTGAACAGTGAGTATCTATGACCATTAAGTAACTATGATCAGTAATTATCTATGACCACCAAGTAAGTATGATCAGTTACTAACTTTGAACACTAGTAAACAATGACTTGCAACTTTTGTAACACAACACATTTCTGAGACTTGGCCGGCAGCAGTCACTTCGTTCCGGAGATGTTAGAACAAGTTGGGAATCATATGCACAGATGTGTGAGATTTGTTTTGGCACAAATTAATGAGCAAGCTATTTGAATGAAACTATGGAGTTCTTCTTCTATATAATTTTACTTGTATATAAGTCGGAGCTTGGCAAATCGGTGGACTATATATAAAAATATATATTGCTGCCATAGGAATGATCGGAAAATTTTAAGACAAACAATTATAATTTTCTAGATTATCATCAAATTTGATATATAGCCATTATATATAATTCTAAAATTTTGGGTAAAACTCACCCATGACCCAATCCTGATCATTTTCTTCGGTGATCATCCGATATTGCAGCACAAAGTACAATATCGGACATCCGTTGTCAGGCCAAGAATGCAGTCGGACCAAAAGCGAGGTGGAGTTGGGCGCCAGCAGAGCTGTAGAGGCGGGCTGACCCGGCGACTGTCCCTGGGTACGCACATGTAACATGGTGCTGGAGGATGAAGTGCCCACCTTATTCTGGGCACTCATGTAGACCTGGTAGGTGCTGCCGCACACCAGACCCTTTAGCTCATGGCTCGAGGCATGACGCGAAAGCTGCATTTCCGCTGTGTTGCCATTTGTTTTCCGATAGAAGAGGGTATAGCCAGTGATGGGTGCATTGCCAGTGAAGCCGCACTTCCAGTGCATCAATATGCTGCTCGAGGTGGCACTGGTAACGTAGAGAGTCGGAGGTGAAGGCGGCACTTGAACCAGGAGCATGTGTGTGAGACGATCGGTTCCGATGCCATTGTCCACCTGGCAGCTGTAGTTGCCGCTATCCTCTAGTTCAAGATCGGAAATAATCAGATCACCGCTGTCCAGCATCTGGGAGTTGTGAAGGCTTCCCTGACGAACCACCTCATCTCCTTTAAACCAATCCCGTTTGGGCTTGCCCACCGCGGTGCAGGGCATGGTGACAGTGGACCTGAAGGGACGCACCACAGGACCGCCGAAGGAGATAATTCTCGCCGGCACCCGGTTGGTGGTGATCTGTGAGGCCACGCGGGAACTCTTGCCCTCGCCCACCCGAGTGCTGGCCGTAACCCAGAACTGGTACTCCATGTGAGGATGCAGACCCTTTGCCTCGTAATAGGCCTGTTGTGATGGCAGACTCCTCTTCTCGTTGTTCAGCTCTCGCGACCGTTCACCACGCGAGTGTACAGCTATACTTGGTTATCACCCCATTGGGCTCTGATGGCGCCAGCCAGGAGATGTACAAGGATTGAGATGAGCTGGATACCACTTTAATGTCTGCCGGTGCCTCGGGAACATCCTCCTCGCTGTGGCAGAACAGAGGCTTTGAGAGGACTCCGTCTCCCATTCGAGTATGGGCCAGCACCTGGATGCTGTAGTTGGTGTACTTCCTCAGACCTGTCAGCACCATGGTAAGAGCTGTGGTCTTTCGGGACTCCACCTCGTCCTTGCTGGGCTGAATGTCATCGATCATGGGTTCAAATATCAGTTTATACCCTTGGAGTAAGCCGTTGGTATGATAGATTGGCGGAGGCTGCCAGGACACCTGAAGCGACTGGGAGGAGAGAGCTGCACAGCGCACATCCTCTGGCGGGCGACTGGGAACTAGTTGAGAGAAGAATTATATAAAAAGTTTATTAATAAATGTGGTATAAAATATTTATAATATAATATAAAATTTATAATAACAACTCACCATCTTCCATGGTCTGAGATGCGGTGGGCTCCGACAGAGGTCCTGGTCCCACCTGGTTAAATGCCTGCACCACCACGCTATAGCGTGCAAATTTGGCCAATCCACTGAGGAGCAATTCGCCATTTCCGCCATCGCCATCACCCGAAACGGAAGTGAAATTGTACGCCGTATTTCCTGAACTAGCCAGCTTATAGCCCACATTATAGCCTTGGATGTCGCCGTGTCGTAGTTCCGGCAATGGAGCCACCCAACTGATGAGCAGCTCCGTGGAAGACAAAGGTCTGGCCGAGAGATTCAGTGGTGGACCTGCCGGTCGTTGGGGCTCAGTGCGAACAACCAGCTCCTGGCTGGGTGCACTGCGTCCGGCTGAGCCTTCGGCAATTACCCGGAAAGCATAGCGGGTGGCAGGTTGAGGTTCTCCACCATGGCATTGAAGGTAGGCGGATCTTTGACCTCGATCTGTTGCCATTGTTCTACGAAAAGAGCTGCCGATGGGAAAACTATAATTACAAGGGAGTTTTTTAGAATAAATTAAGAAAGAAAAGTGGGGAAAAGCTTGCAAAACTTACGATCTGCTTCCCGGAATTCCACCAAATACTTGGTTACATCGCCAGTGCCCAGGGATTTGGGCTGCCATTTGAGATTTACCGACCGACTGGTGATCATGGCCGCTTCCAGGACACTCGGTGGCAGCGGTGGCTCCTGGACTTGAAGTTGAACCAGCTGCTGGTCGTTGCCATAGAGATTACTTGCCCGGCAAAAGTATGGCCCACTGTCGGTTGCATCCACCGTACGGATTTGCAGTTCCGCAGAGACTCCATCCGGTGTGGCCTCCTGCTTGACTGAGATCCTGAAAGCAAGCAAGCAATGTGGCCGGGATTACTTTCGCTTCCTGCACTCCGACCACTGAGGGTACTCACTTGTAATTGGTCGACGGGTTCAGGGTATTCTTGCCCGAGCGCATCCACACGATGTTTATCGGCTTGTCGCCACTTACGGCACACTGGAGCAGGGCCGTATCGCCCTTCTTCACCATTACCGAGCGGGAAGTGGATGAAAAGTACGGTGAGGCTGCAAAAAGGCGCACATTTTCCCCCATTTTAATTACGGCCGGGCATTCCTCCGGGGGGGCTCCAAGCATTGCAATTAACCAAATTGCCAGTCCTGCTTCCCAGTTTCCACTTCCTCAACTCTCAGGCCCTTCACAGATACTCACAGTTCACTTTCAGCTGGATGACCTTTCCGATGCCGGTGCCGATGCCATTGTTTGCCTGACACAGATAGAAACCCTCACGATCCTCTTTAACGTGTTGCAGCAACAAGGAGCCATTGCCCAGGAGTTTGGTGAAAGGACGCTCCCGGACCTCCTCATATTCACCGGATTTGCTGCCTGCAAAGTAAGAGAGAAGAAGTCGTTATTTTTATGAGTTGAGAATGTTTGCACCTAAGAATACATTTACATAAACTATGATTTAAATATTCCATGGAATAAATATCATATCTATTGATTTCAAGATCTCACCTGTGGCCTTTTTCCAAACTATACTGGGAGTGGGTACCCCCTGGGCCTGGCAGTGCAGCATTATGTGACGATTCCGCTCCACATTCGCGTCCACGGGCTCGACTATCCAGCGAGGCGGTACTACGGGGCGTATGAGTGATATGCAAAAAGCAGTTAGCATCGTTTGGGAAAAGGGTTAATCAGGGGCTGTAGAACGAATGATTTAAACCAAAACTGCTAAGACATACAGTAAAAGTAATGGTTCTTAGAGAGAGAGAGATATATAGAGAGGTAGAGAGAGACAGAGACAGAGAGGAAAAGTGAAGATTTCTGGCAAAGTAAAAAACGGCAGAAAAGAATTTTGCTTTTACGTTCTTAAGATTTCCATTAGTGCCTAGCACAAATGGTAAAACTGGTTGAATAGTGGTAGCAATATAGTAGGAACTGTTTTCAACTAATATACAAAAGGATAGTTTGCTTTTTGGGCTTTGGTTTTGCTTCAAAATCAAATACAAAAATAATTTTCATATGCAACTCAGTCAAAAAGGTAACAAAAATGATAGAAAATATTGGTACTTTTCATGTTTAATGTCGTTTTAAGGATAAATCGTTTAGGAGAATCGTTTTGGGAGAAATTAATTAATGCGATTTGTTTTTGTTTTGGTGTGCAAGGATTTAAATTTTTGTTTCGATTCCTTCGTTTATCGCTTTCTCTTTTGTGTGTTTTTCATTAATTCGCCCACGCTCTGTGCCTCGCTGTTCGTTGTTCATTGTTTCGTACAACAAAATCGCAAAAAAGGCTTAAATATGTTCTGATACAGTCGGCGCATAAATTAAATAACAAAGGCATGCCAGAAGCGTAATGGAAAATATATATTTGCATAGAAATTATAGAATGCGCAAAATAAATCGAAAATTGTGTGTGAGTTTTATAGTTTGGACACGCAGCTAACAAAACACGGGAAAAAAGCGAACGGATAAAACGGAATTTTAATAACAATCGCCCATGTATATCCGCCATTTCCATGGATTGGCTTTATTTTTTCTCGTTTCTCAATAAATTATAAACTGTTTACTTAGCAGCTGCATTTAATTGCCAGCCTTTGTTTGTGCAGCGCTAACGAAATGAAAAATGTTAATTAAAAATTAAGCCCGGACAAGGAACAAATTATAGAGAGCATAAATGAAATTAACATCTGGGCCCCCCAGGCCATGTATTAATTAAAATGATTTCTGGTTATTAATATTTTTGCATTGGATTATTTTGCATAATAAAAAGCGTTTGTGGATTCTTTTCGGGGACAGCCTTTCTATAATTCGAATACGAAAAAAAGGAATAAAAATCTTTGCACTCAACAACAGCAGCAGAGAAGCAGCGCAGCCTGGGAAATGTGGGAAATGGAAAGTGGAGCAGCATTGGCAGCATTGGCAGCATTGGCAGCATACTCGTAAATAAATTAAATTTCGGAATATTGTGTATGTCACAAGCTGGTCGCTTAGCAAATGAAAATAAATATAATTGCCCACCCCCAAAAAAGGCTGGCTGCCAGGCGGGGAAAGCTTAACGGAGCAATCTTTGTGTGTTTGTGTGTGTGTGTGTATAAGTGTCTGTGTGTTCGAGGAGCGGAGGGGAAAACCCAAAAACGAATTAAGACCGGGGCTTAAGAACCGAGAAAAACGAAACGAAAACGAAAGGAAACCAAAAGTGGAGAGCAAGCAAATCATAAATAAATGGAAATTAAAATTCGTTTCTCACAGCACTACGCGCATGCAGATGATGGCACAGAGCAAACACAAAAACAAACCAAAAATTGCAATTGCAATTCTACGCACATTTATGGCAAAGTACAGTCCGCATGCAGAAACAAAAGGTGCAGCACAGCAGAGTACCGTTAGCCGCTTGCTAGTGAAAAAAAAACATAAATAAACATTCATTCTCAACTACATTAGCAAATACTGCGAAGCTTTAAGTTTATTATCCGTTGCTTTTCGGTTGGTTTTTCCATTTTTCTTTTTTGTTTATTTTTCTTGCGGTTTAATTCATTTTGCGCTGCAATAAGATTAGGTTTAAGCGTTTTGTCACTCACACAAGCACACAGGCAGACTCGGGCAATCAGGCACTCACACAAGCGAAAGGGTTCAGTACACCGAAAATAAATGGCAGAGCTCAAATCGATTTACAAGATTTAGAAGCCTTACTAAAACTGCAAGACCTTAAAGCGCCTTTTAGACTGCCCAAAAAAGTAGGCAATACGATGTACCCCTGCAGGATACCAAAAAATACCAATTTAAAAAAGGCAATATTTCAGGATTTCAAAAAACCAGTGATAGTATAGTCATGTATATTCCGAATCAGAATTAAATTCTTAATTTATTAACATAAAAATATAAAATAATAAATTTTTGATAATTTTAGCCAATTATACAAAATTTTATAAAGAGTAACATCGTTAATGTTTTTACAATTTTTGCAATTTGAAATTTTTTAAATGTTAAGTGGAGTATGCAGATTTATTACCCTAATCAAAAGTATCACAGAACAGCTTTCTAAATTAAAATGGGAGCTATTTTGACTCAGTTATAGATTTTTTAAACTTTAATTTATCTCAAAAATATTTATATAAGACCGAATTAATTTAACCAATTAATTGACTTGGAAATTTTAAATATTTCTCAGATTTCTTAGCCATTTCTTGTCGGTGTACAGATATAGAGTAAGCGTTTAGAGAGAGGCCAAAACCAAATTGAAGCATAAGCGCGTGTTTCAATAGCATCTTCGGAGCACTCCGGTTGGCTGTGGATCCTGCTCCTTTAGTGGAACACAACCCATTCTTTTGCAGCGTTCGCCTTGTTTATTCGTTCGTTAATTAAGCACAGCACATTGAGCATAGTAGATGGAGTGGAGTGGAGTTTTCGGAAGCTGCAAGTCAAGTCAAAAATGAAGAGAGGAGCCGAGCGGAGCCAAGAACAGAATAAAAAAGGGGGGAACAAAGGAGCACTGCAATTATCCTGCAGGCGGGCAGCAACAGCGACGTAGATGGCAACCGAAAAAAGGTTCTTTTTTTTAGCGAGTAAAGCAAATAATTCTTAAAGCAGCTTATCTTTCCATGTTTATGCATGAGTATTTTGTATAAAATTATAAATTACAGCTAATCACGAATGCAGTGCACCCTCCGAGGGATGGTACTATGAAATATGAATAGGAAATACCGCCAATTAATTTCCGCCCGGAGAGTGCACCGTAATTTATGTGTCGTGTCTAGGGCCGGACTTGTCGTATAAGAAGCCATTTTAAATAATATGCAGCAAATCAAAATGGATATATTCATAAGCTTTATACTTAGTTTTATGTTAGATTTTGGTTACGAAGCGCATATAAGAAGCAGTGCAGTTAAACGGTTTACCTGGTGAGACGGTTGTCAAAAAAACCCACAGCGTGCCAAAGCGACTTAAGGGTGGCGGGAAAACTCTTAATTGTAGATTAGTGGGGTTATTTTTTTCTTGGGGTGTTTAAAGCGGGACATTTATTTAATCTTATGATAGGGGGTTATCGTTTTTTATTCGGGGTTGGTTGTGGGTTGGTTGGTTTTCTTAGTGAGAGTCAAAAAATCAAAGCACCTTCGGGCTAGGGCAACGTTCAGTTACTCCCGGAGCTGGGAGCAGAGAGCTCCAAAAAAGCTGGGTTAGCCTAGTTTCTTTTGTTGTTAAAAATCAACCAAAAATTATATATATCATCAACAACTGAAAATACCATTAAAAAGCTCTTCTTGAATACATCAGCGGGAAAGCAAAAAGTTATTGAGGGGGGCAAAGTGAAGATCGCTTAGTTCATATTGAGTGTGTTGTTTTGTTTGGGTGTGTTAGAATGAGAGTAGTTCTATAGTCATAACTGATCAAATCTGGATTGTTTTATGATATAAAATATATAATATACCCTTTGCCTTACGTTGTAAAACAATTTAGTAAGAGATTGATTTGATTCAGATTCAAGTATTGTTAAGAAATATTCATATTATTCATACTAACTTTAGAATTTTTACCTTTTTTCCTATATCTGAAGTTATACAGGACCTTAATTATTATGCATAAAAAAGTATTAATAAGTATAAAAGTATAAAAAGTATTTACTTAATAATAATAAATTAATCCTGACGAATTTTCTGAAAGATCAAATTAAGTGCATCTTAAATTCTTCAAATGCTACTATCTCAGTTATAAAAATATCATTAAAAAAATCTAGATAGCTGATATTATGACTATTTAATTAATCTCTTTCCATGTAATGCGTTATGTTTCGATTAAGCTGTGTTGATGGGTACGCTAGTACGCTACCTTTGACCTGCAACAGGGCCGTATACTTGATCTCGGCGGCCGGATTCTTGGCCACGCACGTGTACTCGCCGGAATGCGTGGCGGATAGCGATGGTATGCTCAGCAGTGAGCTGTACTGGTCTAACATGGTGACATTGCGCCGAGGAGGTCCGGCAGCGGGTCTCCGTCCTTCAGCCAGAGGAGCTTCAGCGGCGGATCGCCCCGGGAGACACCGCAGACGGTCCTCGTCCGCATGCCCTCGGCCAGGCCCTCCTGGAAGGCGAACGGTTCTATGCTCGGTGGCACTGCAAGAGGAAAGATCAGGCGAGATGGGTTAAGATTCGAACAGGAAGCGGAAGCGAAGATTCCTGCAAAGCACCCGCGGCGGGGATTCCCTCGATGACACAATGGTGAATGCTGCCGGATGGAATTTTGTCAATTCTGTAAACCTTCGCAGATTTGTTAACACATTCGAATGAAAAACGCTACTTAATGTTGTACAAACATTCCGAAAGTGGAAACATCATTTACAAGGATAGCAAGGATCGTATATGTATATATATATAATTATATATAATATCGTATGTATATATGCAAGTGGTTCTGCTCTGGAGTGTGGAGATGGAGATTACAATGGTACGGGTACGAGTACATGAATCAAAGTGCATACGAAAGGAAACTCAACTACTTGCAACTAAACGGGATTACGGATTACTGCGAGGAAGGACTCGAATCGTCGATCTCTATGTGTTTACCATTGACCAAAAGGGCCTGCGAGTTCTCCACCTCGGCGGCGGAGTTACGGACCACACAGGAGTAGTTGCCGGTGTGATCGCTGCCCAGATTCTCGATCACCAGGATGCTGTTGTACTGGTCCACCAGCTTCACGGACATGTGCTGCGTCTGGTCGATGGGCCGGTTATCCTTCCGCCAGACGATGGTCAGCGGCTGGTCGCCCTTCACCACCGAGCAGGTGAGGGAGGCCCGATCCCCCATATTCAGCTGCAGGATGTTCGTTTGGAAGGGACTGAGCTTCGGCGGCACTGCAAGGATGATCAGCCAAGGATTGCGTGAGCGCAACAAGCAAATAAAAAGAGGAAGCACCAAAGAGGGAGCCATCAAAAGGTTGCGATTTATGAAAATTTAATCAGGACGGCTCTTCATTAGGGCGCGAATTCATTAACATTAACTCTAATGAAAAAAAGGGTCTCGCGGTGCTCCCCTTCGGCTTCCTTTTTTAATTTACCAACTTTTAAGCTTAGATTATTGCGCATATTTAATTACAGCTGAAGCAAAAGTATACACACGCCCGGCTGAGGGCCAAAAAACAAAACAAAATTAAGCAGAAACAAAAACGTAACGAAAAAAGAAATGCAAAAAGGTTGCCAAAAGGTTGGAGCAAGCTGAAGCGCCATAGGAAACTACTTAGTTTGCTGTTAATAATTAAAATGCAATTTTCACTTCGTTTCGTTGCCGGCCGCCGCCTGATGTCATCGTTTTGGTGAGAGTCCTGTGAAAGAAACCAACCTCGACCTCCTCTTCTTCATCATCTATATTTTTTTTTGTTTGTTTGTTTGCTTGTTTTTCCCAGGGTTTTCTTTTTCCCTGGGTTTTCCTCTTTGTGGGTTCTGTTTTTCCTCTTTTTTTGGGTCTTTTACAAGCACCGTTCCGGCCTCACATACTAACCTATGACCGTCACTTCGCCACTCCGGCGGGCGCTGTGACCCTGCTTGTTCCTCGCCCAGCACGTGTAAACGCCGGAATCGGAGGCCTTCTGCACCGGACTGATGGTCAGCGAGCCGTCCGGCTGAACCCGTTGCCGTATGTCATCCGGCAGCTCCCGTCCGCCTCGCTCCCAGTGGATCTCCTCGATGGGATAGCCGGCCACCGGGCACTTTAGATTCAGTTGCTCGCCGGAGACGGCGGTCACCTTTGGTATCAGTCGAATGTACGGAAGACCTGTGTCATGGAGAACGGAAATGGATGGAATAATAGAAACGGAGCCAGGTGGCAGTGATGAGTTGTTGCTGTGCAGATATTTCGAGGTTCGGGGGGGAATGTAAATGCTTAACAGATTTCCGCGCACGTTGCTTTTTTAATAATGCAGTAAACAACTACAACTACAAGAGCAATATGAGTAGGGTGCAAAAAAACACTGGGAGAAAATGTAACCAATATTGAATGAGTACTGACATTTGTTGGATGTTTTCTTCTTTAGTAGGAATTCATTAGAAACTTTAAAGAGAAACCTTTTAGAGATCTTTAAAAGTTTAGGTTCATCTTATTTAAATCTAATCATTGACTTCCTGGCCTTCAAATACCAAAACGAAACGTAATATATATGTATTCTATGGACATGAAATCTATATATTTGAAATCTTATTTTTTTTTTTGTGTAAATCATAGTTTTACTAATATCATAACTATGCCAAAAATGCATTAATTTCAATGTGGAAAGCTGTTCAGTGTTAGTTTTTAAAAACTTAATAAGTATGCATACTTAATTTAAAATGTTCAACAAATAAAAAATTATAAATTTTTGACAATTTTGACGATGTAACCACTTCAAAAATTGGAATTGAAAATTTTATTTTCTACCGAATATAGCTAGTTCGATTCAGCTGTTAACGCTGATCAATAATATATATGGTTTACAGGGTTGGAAATGACTCCATCACTATGATTTAAGCTTCTGACTAGAGTTACCCTGCTTTTTCTTAAGATCCTGCTTATTTTTCGGGTACTTTTTTTCTCTGTGCAGACAACAGGATGGGGAGCACAATGTAATATGCATATCCTTGTTGGTTTCGTCCTGTCGCCCATTTCCTCGCTCCGCCCGCGAAAACACTTTTCGGTGGAAAAGTGGAAGGAAATAATGCAGCAAATGTCGGTCCTGGCAGCTGAAGGAGCAAGAGGCAAGAGTTTTGCGGCTCGGCTCTTCTGGTTTGCCTTGTGGGCTGCTGTTTTTTATATATCTGTATATTTTTTTTCCTGCAGAATATGCATAATTTTCGAGCATGTCATACGTGGTGCCCGTGCCCTGTCGGTGTCCCTGTCGGTGTCCGCGTTCGTGTTTTCTGAGGGAAGTCGGTTGGATGGCGGGATTTTTGTAATCACCGCCATTACCAAGTCGCGCAATCAGCGACATCGCCGAGCTTTAAACTAAATGATGATGGTGGAAGTGGGATTCATTTCCTCCACCTTTTTTGAGCTCCAGCCGGCAAACATTGTTTGAAGGGTATGCGGAAACTGTCAAAGAGCTTGGAAATGGTACGGGTATGGGTACGGTAAGGTCCTTTTGACACACTTTTTTGTTGATTTTTATTTGATTATCTTAGGAAATCACTTGGGTCTGCAGCTTTGGAAAGGAGAAAATTCCAGGGAATATAAATCCCTAGTTTAAAAGCTCTGGAATATTTTACTTTGTATATTAAGAAAGACTTTTTTAAGATATTCTAGACAACATTTTATAAGTGTTGCATATTTATATTTTTGTACAGGTGTTAAGCAACTTTTCGAGTAGAGCATCCCCTATTCACCAAAGGGATTTTCACTGCATTTACTTGGCTTTATTTTTCAACTTTTTCACTGGAAAACTTTGTAAACATGGCGCAGTTTTTGCCGCTGCTGTCGTTTTGTGTTTGCACTCTTCGGCTCCTTCCTTTCGTCCTGGCAACGCCATTTTGTTTGCCTGGCGACACAAAAATATTTGATTTCTTGCAAAAACAAGGCAGATGGTGCTGCGCGTGCTGTTGGCAACTGGGAAGCTGGAAGCTGGGTGTCCTTTTTGCCAGGATTTTCGGGACGACGAAAAGGGGAAAAGCACTGCAGCCAGCCGAGAGCCATGTTCAACAGAAGTGTGCGCCTCGAACAACACTTCAGTGCTGCAAAGGCACAAAAGTAAACTTGCAGGGGGGCGTGGCAGTCGCAAGGATCTGTTATAGGCAAGCGGAGAGGACATGGCGGACGTGTTGTAAAACAAAATCAGGCAAAAGTAGGCAAATGCCCAAAAAAAAGACGAAAGGAAGGACCTCGAGCCTCGAGAATGCAGAGAACGTTTGAGTGCATATGTAAGTAGCTGCCCATATTTGTAGCTGCACAGAGAAAAGTGCAGAATTATTAATTCAAATTCTATTAAAAAGTATGTTAAATTTATGTTTATATCATTAAAAATTAAATACAAAAATTTCTGCATTCTAAAATCAATCAAAATCATTTTTCAAAATAGTCTCGTTTTATATAATTAGTTCCCTAATTCTATTCCTAAATTAAAGTGGTAACAATATTTATAATTTATTAATATGTTCTATATTTTACCAAATTTTTTCCCAGTGTTTTACTATTTTTTAGAGTCTCTGCCAGAAGTGTGAATACAACATACCATAAATATTCAAGCGGGCCGCATGCTGCACTCGTCCTGCCCGATTTTCGGCGTTGCAGGCATACTCGCCGCCATCCTCGACCATGACGTGGCTTATGTTAACATGACTAATTACATCGCCATGCACTGTGATGTATTGTCCGATCATAAATCTGCAACGGCAAGAGGGGTTGAGAGCATAAAGAACACATTAATATTGGCTTGGATGCAATTTTAGCGGGCGCACGCGGCGAATGCGCAATGCCTGCCTTGTTTTAGAGTTGTTATTTTGTTTCTTTTTTTTTTTGAGCAGCTTTTGCATATTTAAGGACACACACACCCACTGCACCGGTACACTCATCAGCTAGGCACACTTCAAAAATGCAGCCTGACCCAAATCCCTTTTGGCTGTAGGCTTCATTTTGTATTTTTGCCTTGGCATCTCTTATTTTGCCTGCGTGTTTTTCTATTTTTTTGTCGTTGCCACATTTAGTCGTAATGAAGGCTGTCAGTCGCGCTGTCGGGGCTTAGCATAGTTTCCATATTGCCGTCAATGTCATGTGCCACGCCCATGCCCACTTCCCTAGTAGTTCCACTTCCACTTAATGCGGCCGTTACGCCTGAGCTCAAATAATGAGGAAAAAAGGATTTCAGGAGGCGCCAAGTTGGCATTAAGTTCTGTGCCATTCGTTTCGTTTCGTTCGCTTCTCTGTTGGTGTTCTTTTGTTTGCAGTGCCTTCTTATTGGCACAGACATTAATTACAGGCAACATTGTTACGCATACGCCATGTGGCACTCACACAATCGGCTTTTGTGGCATCTTATATGGCCGGGATTGCGTTCTAAGCCGGCACACATACACACACCCGTTGGCTCATTAGTTTGTGGCCCCTGCTCGGTGGCAACTTTTCAATTGGCATTACAGCCGGAAGTCGGAGTTGGAGTTGGAGCCGTAACAATAATGGCGAAGGAGAAGTAATTACAATTTTAATTAACTTTTGCAGCGGCCGTATCGTGCGGAGCTTATGAATGCATAAGTCCCGGCCAGCTTCTGCGCTGATTTCCCCAGAAAGAGTGGCCAAGTCAAGCCGAAAAATCTTTTATAGAGTGTGTGTGCCCAGGCTTGTAAAAACAGCAACTGTAGTTAAGTGAAAATGAAGCCGCTCGCCCTCTCCCCAGAGATGGGAGACACTTGGACTGCAACACTTGAGCGCATTGAAACAATGGCGAGGACAAAATTGCAACAAAGTTGCACACATCCTCATCCTCCACAGTCGTATCCACATCCACATCCACATCCACATCCGCACCATGCCGGCTTAAACGGCATTGCAGAAGTTGAAATGTGTGTGTGTGGAGCATAAAACGCTTTGGCTGCAACAATATAAACCTAATAGCTTGGCGCGGCTTTTGTGTGCTGTTTTAGCTGATTGCAGTTGCTGTGCTTCTGTGAGTGCCCTGCTCTGCGGGTGGCTTAATTCCAGAATCCTGCCAAAAAGGAAACACAAGGATAAGAATTTCACTAGGTGCCACTTTTTAGAAGGGGGTTGTAGTGAAACTTTCGTGGCGAAGTGCGAAAATTATGAATTTCAATTTAGTCGAATTGAGTTTGCACTTGGATCCCAATCAGGTAGTTTCCAGCACAGATTAGTGGTTATTATGTTAACCCAAGAACCTTCTTTGCAATTGAAATTTAAATCTGTATTTTAAAACTTTGGAAACTTTATTTAAATATTTGATCTAAAGAAATACGAAGGACTTTGCATTTTGTAAATATTCCTTTCTTTTTATATGGCTTGAAAGTATGATTTCTTTTAAAAATTATACAATCTTCTAATAATTTTATTAGTATATGAACCTATAATTAGGATATATATAGAAATAAGAAAGACTTTGCATTATTTATATATTCCTATCTTTTTATATGGGTTTAAAGTAGAATTTCTTTTTAAAAAATAAAACAATCTTCTAAAAATTTCATTAGTAATATGAACCTAATAGTGTAGAGATATATCTGTGTAACTCATATGAGTGGTTCTTGCTAAAAGCATTCCTACGCTTAAGCGTTTTCTCATTTAGGCCAAAATTACATACATTTCCATAACGCCTGCAGTTGTAGACAAACGCAACACGCATACACGCCTCCAAAAGCCTTCATCTTCACAGACTTCCAGGCACAGGGCAGGCACAGGAAAAAACTGACGGCAGAGGAAAAGCTAAGGAAAACTGAAGGAAAACATCTCGCCTCCTCCGCTCAGCTTGGGCCTGCTGAGTTGGTGCCTCAGTTTCTGGCACCGCCGCAGACAAACTTTTGAAAATGGCGTAAAATGAGCGTTTGAGTGTTGCGTTACCTCGTGCGCGCAATCATTTAATTTCCGCCCCAAGGCGTCTGCCTTCCATCTTTCCGCCACCGCCGCCCCCCTACATTTTCCTGCCACTTTCCCGCCCCATTGTGCCTGTCTGCCACTCTGCAGAGTGAATGTGTGTGTGTGTGTATTAAATAAATACACTTACCAAGTTGATATACCTTTAAACCGAATAATGTAAACCACTTAAAACTCGGCAATAACAACGCAACGGTAGACGGCAACCGGCAAGAGAATTTATTCAGCATTTCGAAGGATGTTTTGCCGGCTGGCAAATTAGGTTGCCAGCTATGCCGGGGCTAAGGATAATGCCTACGGGCATTATGTGTCAAAATTGTGTTGCTCAGATAACTTTTAAATTAAAGCCATCGGCATCGGGCATGTCCGCACAAGTTTCCCAAAAGCAAATTTTCACACCGACCACATAACACACAAATTTTTGTAATCAATTTTGCCTTGTGGTCAGCCATCTTCCTTGGCCATCGAAGAAGTGGTATGGGAATGGGAATGGGTTGCCGCAGGTCCAAAGGACCCAAAGAAGGATGGCCACTTGGGTGAAGTGAATTCATGACGATGACTTAAGTTGCAGTCACAAGTGCATAAAAAGTGGTCATCTTTTTATGTGAACATTTAAAGGGTTAAAGTCCAATGATATATGAGCTTTAGATAAGAGGATGTCTTTTAAAATATTCTTCCCCTAAATACATATGACAGGATATTCTATCTATGACATCAATTTGCTTAAAAATATATTTAGTTTAAGAGGTATTTCATGGTCGTGTTTTGCTCAAAAACCCATCATGTTGATAGCTGCTCATCATCTGCCTTCGACATATTGCCCAAGTTTTAATTAAAATATAACACAGCTGGGCCAAGGCAGGACAACAATCAGGACACTGTCGCCTTAGTTTTGTTTTATTTTCCAGTTTTTTTGTTCTTGTTTTTATTATTACGCTGCTGTGCATCAGCAAAGCAAAAAGCAAATGCAAATAAAAAACCTGATGCTGATTTTGATGGTAACTGCTGTTTGGTACTCGTAGTTTTTAATCAACAACAGAAGCAACAGTGGCCGGGGTGAAAACTTTGACTTGCAAATGATTACAGACGTAACTCAAACAATTAGTGGCAGCTGGCAGCGAATCAGTCCCAGTAGATACACAGATACAAATTTTCACTGGTATTTCACAGATACAGATATATACAAAAAACAATCAAATAAAATGCCGCTGACAATGTCGCAGACCGAATTGGCAATCAATCGATTTGTCGCTGCATTTTATTTACTTACACTAAGCCAACAAACTATTTGAGGTCCCCGTATTCGATTCCGAGCCTCTTCGATTTTATTCGGCCAATGCAAATGTCAATGTCATTAAAGGACCTGACTGACTGGTGGGGCTGTCATTTAATTTAGTTGGCATCCAGCCAGCTAAAAATGCAATTAAATGCGTAAGGATGTAAGGATTGGGCGACCAACCAACCAACCGACCGACCGACCGACCAACCAGGCTTAATTAACAAATAGAAAGGCAAAGTCGGAACCTTGGGCCAGACGCAGACACAGATACAGATACGGATGTGGCTGCGAATCCGAATGCGAATACGGATACGGATACGGCTACAGTCGCAGTGGCAGTTGCAGGAGTGAATGAACGCTGGAGCAGACGACGATGACGACGACGATGAGGTGGTGGCCACCACCCACCTTTGTAGGCGCGGCAGTCGGCAGCCACTTTTCTATATATGTAATGGTAAATGTGTATATGTTTTTCTATATATTCGTGCGGCAATGTTTTTGAAAGGAAAATGTTGAAAAAAAAAGAAACGTAGGCACTGAGGGGAAAAAAGGCACAAACACACACAACGAGTGCAATAAATGCAACCGCAGCCACAGTCGGGAGCCGCAGTTGAGATAAATTTTTACAGAACGCCCGTAGCGCCGACAAAAACAGTGGAAGTTATAAGGAAAATTAAGGATAAATAATAATGTATTATAATTATTAATATAAGCACTCAAAAGAGTATACTTTAAGACAAAATCGAATCCTTAAGTTAAGAGTTTTCATCCTAGTCAAATATATATTTGAGCTTTAAGCGGTATTATTTTTGATTACGTATTTCCCACAGCAAAAGTTTTAATTACAGTTTAAATGTCTTAATTTCCAATGATCTTCTATATATATTCCTGAACTGCATTCTATATATCACCCACTGTGCAACGTAGCCGTTTTCCGTTTGCCGTTTGCCATTGCCAAGCCCATCTGGAGGCACCACCCCCCGTTCCAGTTACAATTTCCCACCCGGACTCCCACTTCCACAGCCCCTTTTCAACAAGTTCAATTACCTTCCGTTTGATGGCAGCGGAAATCCGTCCAGTGTCCATGAAATTTGCGGCGTAGGATTGCCGGCAGCGGAGCACTTGAGGCTCACAGCTGGGCCCGGCTGCAGGGTCTGCTCGATGAAGCTGTATAGCAAAGCTGGCGGGGCATCTGCAGGATAAAGCCATGGTTACAAAGGATGCAAAGAGAGAAGAGAGAGAGAGAGAGAGAGAGAGAGAGAGAGAGAGAGTGGGTGTGAAAGAGGTCACATTAATATTTTAAGCTACAACAGCCAACCCGTGGCATTCTCACACAGGGGGAAAATAGGTTCTAGCATAAAATCAAGAATATCTAAACAGTGAAGCAAAACGTTTTATGAGACAATGGGAAGGGAAAGGCCTTGGAAAACCTACGAAGGAATTTTTAAATCAATAAAAAAAGAAGAAGTAAGGAAAAAATTACTATATAAATCTAAAATAATTAAATGTATAAATTAAGTTAGAGTTTTGTAATGACTCACCTCCCAATTGCAACTCCGCGGTGGCCTGGAATGTGTCACCCTCGGGCCTTCGTACCACGCACTGATACATGCCGCGGTTTTCGCGACCCACACGTGGCACCACCAGAGTATCCTCCACTCGGCCCGAGGAGGGCAGCTGTCGTCCATCCTTGTACCACAGAATATTCTGCATCCCCACCGGACTGCCATTGCTGGTCACCACGCAGCGGAACTCCGCTGTGCCGCCCATATGAACGCTGAGCACATTGGGTGAGATCTCCACCTGGATGGGTGTGGCCACCGTAAGACGTAGCTCGGCACTGGCCTCACCGCCCACATTGCCAGCGGTGCACTTGTAAACGCCAGAGTCCTCTCCGGTCACAGCCTCAATGGCCAGGATGGGGCCCAGGAGTCGCACACGAGGTCCACTCAGCACGGGCAAGGGACCAGCTCCATTGTGGGTGTACCAGCTGTGGTTAGCAGGGGGTGAAATTGGAAATTTATGTGGATCAGACATTTGTAAATCGACTCAATTAATCGCGATTTTCAATTTGAAAATAATAAAAAAGGGACCAGAATAGAAGTTGTGGTTATGGGAATATATTTCGCTATTTTATTACTCTATATAGAATACACTTTGACAATAAAATAAAAATGTACAGTTTCATAATGAATAATTTTGGATTCAAAATGAAAATAAACAATTTCTTGAGGTCTATGTAAAAAATCGCTTAAAGGAGAGTAAGATAAAATCTTAAGAGATTTTGGAACGAAGTGCTAGAAAATATAGATTTAATAATAATATCTAAATAAATATAACAAAATTATCAATCTTTGTCAATTTTATGGCCTCACGAAATCCTGAAATATTGCCTTTTTCAATCGATATTTATTGGTATTATATGCATATTTTTGGGTCAAATGAAAGTTTAAAAAGCCATAACTAAGCCAAAAAACCTCCAATTTAAATTCGGCAAGCTGTGCTCGTTTTGGTCACAATTTAAAATATTGAGTCTTTTGTCAAATTTTCGGAAAATTTCTGAAAATTTATTTTTCAATATGTTTATGTTAATAAATCAAGTTTTTAATTATGAATCGGAACATACATGACTTCTTTCGATCACTGGCTTCTGGCCATCTTATGACCTCAAGAAATCGGAATATTTTTTGCTTTTAGTTTAAACCCCAAAAAATGTACACATTTTTTCATCAAACATTTAATTCATTTTTTTATAATTAAAATCCTACTGAACTGACAAAGGACCCTATTCCTTGACTTGTGTACATTTATAATTGAAATCTTCGCTTTGTAATTCCAACACAGCACATTTCTCTGGACTGACTTAAATTAATGGAGTTCAGCTTTCGGGTGATTCTAGCTCATTTATCATGGACCATCTGGTTTTCGCAGGAGCAATTCCTAGTCTTGGATGGCAGATGAAGTATTTATTTTTTTGTGCAGGAAATTGAAAGGGTATTTTAATTTCAACTAGCAGCCAGCGAAGCGAAGTTCAAGGCCTGATGGACTACCTTTGGCGAGCCTTATCCCCTATCGTCGCCCATACCCGCCTGTCTGTTGGTGGTGCCTTTGTTTAATGTTGCATTAATCCTTTGCCTCGCTCATTATCCCTCTTCTGGCACAGGACTCCCTGAAACCCCCTCCTTGGTGTATTAATTATGAAATGGCAAGTTTCTCCTGTTTTTTTTTATATCGTGGCACAGCAATCTATCTATATGTGCAGGCAACCGACCCGCCTGCTTATAGATTCTTTTGTTTCCCGTCAGCAGCCTGACATTGTCTGTATTTTTTTTATGCATTACTTGTCTGCTTATCAAAGCGTAATTACAGGCACATCATATATGGATACATACATTCTATCCTGGCTATATACACATCATTACGTGGGTTATTGTTCCCGAAGCGGGCGTGTACGTATACGTAATGCTGCATCACTCATACGACCCGTCGGCCCGTCGAGAAAGTTAACTAACGCTTTTAGCTCACATTTCAATTATGGCTACACGTTTGCCAACTCTTTAGACACATTTTATAAAATAATGTACACGTCAGCTCAGAGTTCTCCTCCCGCTCGCCGTCGCCATCTGACCCCCTGGGTTGTTTATTTATTTGGCTGGCAAACTAAATGCCCTGACCGCACATATTATAGATGTATGCGTTCCAATTAACCCATACCACTGCCAGTGCCAGTGCACAAGGAAGAAACTGTTTATAATTAGCAAATTTTGAGAAGAACACACGGTTCTTGGGGAATATTTTTATATAGATTTGAATTCATAGAAGTCCTTGCAGCTTAGAAATACCTCTCCGTGCTATGATACAAAACCTATGTATCCTTTCAGAGCTTACTTTTTTATCAAGTCCTAATAATTAGTATATTATTTTCATACGATTTTGAAGTTTAATTTTGTGTGATTTTATTGACAGATAATAAAATAAAATAAATAAATAAATGTAATATTTTAAAATATTTCTGTAATAAACATGAAAAAACTACCAAGAATCACTGTAAATCAGAGACTCTGCACTTTTTATCTATTTTTATAAGAAAAGTGTTCTCATTTATATTACTTTTCTTCAAGTGAACTAATAACTAATAGCGTGTTAGTTTGTGTATGTGATTCCAGTGCCTGTCAACGTCAAAAGTTTCGCCCCAGAAATGTGTGCTAAAGCTCTCAGCGAGCATGGGATTGAGCATGGGGGACTCTTCAAAAAAGGAGTGGGAGTGGGTAGGCCATCGATTTGCGGCACCTATATAACCATTCCTGTATATCCCCCCAACCTATTCCCTACCCATACCCATACACACCTGTATTCGGGCGAAGGACAGCCCTGGGCGACGCACAGCAGCACTGCTCCCTCGTCCTGTGACACCTGCACATGAGCCGTGTGTTCCACCACGCTCGGCGAAATGATGCCGCGATGCGCTGCGGCGAGAGATGATGGAAGCGATGGTTGTATATATTTGTTTGTATGTATGTATATATGGGAGTGACATTGGCTTGGGGTAACGTTCGGGTTATGGGTTCTTGGTTCGCTCTGAAGTCCCTGGATCTGGGTCTGGGTATACTCACAATTAATACGCAGCCGGGTGGGTGAGCTGACGACCACCTGGCGGGTGAGACGATGCATACTGCGGCAGCGGAAGGACTGCGACTCATCGCTCTCCTGCAGATTGTGGATGAGCAGTTCGCCGGTGGGCAGCAAATGGAATTTGCCATCTGGGGGATAGAGAAGCAGAGAGAAGAGATGAGTCCATTACTGTCCTGCACTGAGGTAGTGGAGCCAACGACCTAAGCCAAGGACCAAAAAACTAGCTCATGACAAAAAAATTCGACACAGAAAGCACTGGAAACAAAAAGTGAACATAAATCTTTCACGAAATAGTAAAAACCAGTCGAAAATTTTAAGTAAAACCTTATATTACTTTCACATAAAAGTACCTTAAAGAAATTGCCTCAAAGTATATGCAACATGAACTCTTATCCTTTGGCAAAATTTAGATTTAAATCTTCCGCCAGACACTCTTGACCTTTTCAAATAGATTATTCCTGACACAAGCGGACAGTAAAACGAATTTCCCAAGGTACAGAGAAAATCTTCTTTGTAATATAGACAGCTAGGACTAGCAGCTCGTCTCAAATTGCTAAAGGACAATGTTAATTATGCGCCAAAGGACAGAGGAGCAGAGTGGTCTGGTGAAGGTGCAGTTAAGCAGGCAAACATGTGAGGCAAATGCTGCAAACAAACAATGCACTTTGTTGGCTTGGCAGGCCGCTGGCACAGGACAAGGATGCCAGGATTCAGAAGCCGGCTCGAAAGGACTCGCTTCGCTTCGTTACGTTACGTTTCGTTTCGTTTCGTGCTGTGTCCTTTCTGGCAGCAGCAGCAGACAGACAGACTTTCCCCCGATTACTTACCGCCTTGCAGCGAGGGATAGATGTAGATAGCGGGTTCATGAACCCAGGAGACCACTCGTACCAATTCCTTGACGAACGTGGGCACCACGCAGCGCAGGATGGCGGTGCAGCCGCGCGACGCCGATAGCACCTCCACATCCACTTTGTAGGCCTGCGCCACGACTGCCGGAGTGTAGAGACCAGAATTTTAATATGCAAAAAATGAGTAATCCCTGGCAGAGCCACGCATCTCTTACTCACCAGCACGGACTTGCACGTCCCGTGAGACGATGCGACCCACCGAATTGCTGGCAATGCATCGGTATATGGTATTGTGCACCTCCTGGTGATAGGCCGCTGCTGCAAATGGCATCAGGACGAGTGTACCGTTACGCAGGACTCTCCGCACTCCATGTATCTCCGTCACCGCCGTGCCGTCCGCGTGCACCCAATCGATCGTCGGCTGTGGACTCCCGGAGGCGGAGCAATCCAGCCATCCACCTGAAGAGTTGGAGAACTCCACGCGCCCCGGTGGCTCCATCACGAAGCCGGGACCGCGTAGGTGCGCCTCGAACGGTTCACTGCAGGTGGTATCTGTGATTAAAAAAAGGGAGAGATTAGGTAAAGTTTGAAATAAATTGACAAATTAAAAAATTGCATATTTCCTAGCTGCATAACAAACATTATTTAAATGGGGTTTCAATACAATTATTCAGTATCTTTCTTCTATACAAAATCTTTACCCTTTTTCAATATTTAAAGTCTTCATAACCCCTTTTAAAAACCAGAATATTTTAATGTTTATCAAAAAAGCAAGAGAGCAATTTCAAGATATGAATTTATGATTATAATATATATACATATTCTGCGGGCCATACATCATTTATCCAACGCGTAAAAGCGTTGTAAAATATTCAACAATCAAATATTAAGAGCTCAAGATGCAATAAACAAAAGCAATAATCCCGGAGAGATATCAAAAATTCATAAAAAGGCCGATGGCCTGCTTTGGGTGCGCAAATCCTCAAGGACCTTTTTGCACTTTAATAAGCATTTACATTTTTATAATACCCAACCATTGTGTCGCATTTGAAACCCGTTTTCGTTTCATCAGATCCCCGGATCCTCGCGTGCAAACAGTTTTAGCCTTATCCTAAATTAGAATAACAATTTCATCCTTAGCTCAGCAGCTTCTGGGTTTTCGGTCCCTGTGGCCCTCAAACCCAGATACATATAGGTATATGACGACTCCTCTCTATATATATATATATCTGCTGCATATATATGTATATATATTTCTCCAAATTGACATTTCGCTTCATATTCCACATGAATGCGCCTCGGCTGTCTGCCATGCCACCGAACCGGGCATCTTTCCCTGCGGCGCTGTGCAAATCCTTGCAACTCGTTCAATCTCCAACAGTCAGTCGTCCTGGCCAGGATCTGCTCTTCTCCTCCCAGTTCCCGCCCCCTACAAGTCATTGTGTCTGCAATTAGAGTTGTTTTTTGTTGGTTTTCTTTTTTGCTTTCTCCCTCCATTTCTTTTTTGTTTTGCCTTTCTGTGTTTTGTTCTTTTTGTACGTTTTTTTTCTGCTTTTTTGCTGTTGTGCCTGGCCAGGAGCTTTTGTTTTATGCTCGGCAGCATGAATTTTTATGTAACTGCTTTCTGGTTTCGTCTCCGTCTGTCTCATCGCCTCGTCCTCCGAGATGGTTTCTTTCCGTTTTCCCCGTTGATTTCATGGCTCTCTCTCATCAAAACTCCTCACACGGCGAAAAACTAGCACAGTAATTAATCAATAAATCTGATTTTAAAAGTATAAATTAATTATAATCATTATTTTTTATAATTCACACAAGATTTATGAAGCCTAAATGGGCAGATTTAAAAATTAGGATTATTTAACGAGAAAGCTGTACACCCTAAGATTTGCTAAGGTATCCTTACTATTTTAGCATTCATATAAACAACACGTACTTGATATATGTATAACTAGAAAATGGCATCAATTGAGAGGTCATTGAATCATTATTTTTCCCCGTGTATCCTTCGTAGCCCCTGGTCCAGGATACGGATAAAGACTGAGGCCTCTGCCAGGCCATAAAATTATTGCAAGTATGTCTTGAGTATGCTTGCCACTCGTTTCTCATTTTGTGTTTTTTTTTTTTTTTTTGGTAGAAAGGGTATGTTTTACGAGCCTGTGTGCCTTGGAGCAAGATCCCACATGAGAGTGTGTGGTGTGGTTGTGTACATGTGGGTGTGTGGGTCGGTGAGTACATCCACTTGTGGGGGTTTTATTCTTTCCTCCGAAAACAAAAGTCCACCCTATGCGTATGTGTACTTCCTGAAAGTCCTGCCTATACGAATGTGTGAGTGTGCTTTATACCGATTCTAACGTCTCTTTTTTTGGTGCTGCATGCTCGACTTCCTTTTGGCCTATTCCAATGGGCCCAATGACGAATTCAAAAATCATGCAAATTCTTGAGGAAATTTGGGACATTGTTCTAAAGTAGGCTTTTCAAATTTTCAAGGTTCTTTAAATAATTAAAAGTATTTATAATTTAATCTAGAGTAAAAAAACACCCAAACACCGCAATTTAAATCTCAAAAATAAGTATATAAAATCCTTAAAAGATTCCCAATATAAAATTACAATGCATTTACCTAAATATGCATTACCACAGTATGTGCAGCACCTTTACCCCGATACAATTGAGTGTTTCCCAATCAATTCTGACAACATTCTTTGGCCAAATGCAAAAGCGCATTTGAACTGTCTCCATTTGCCGCAAATTTCTTTTCCAAATTGTTTTTCCAGCTCCGGTTTTGCTGCATTACCTGCAGCACAGCGTCCCTCTGTGAATGTGCAACTGCAACAGCCGCAGGACCTTCCCATCCAAGGACCCTGCCATGTTCCTGCATCCCCTCTCTACTTTGGCTCGCATTTCCGCTCGTTTTGTGTCGTACATTTCACTTCTTTCACTCCGAATGTGTTTCCCATCCACTTGTGCGAGTCTTGAGGGGTTACTTTGCCAGGCTCCTCAGACATTATTTTCTGTGTGTGTGTTCTTTATTTCTACCCGTTTTATATTTTTTACTCCTTTTTGCATTTTTTTTCTCCAGCTTGGATTATGCCCTTTTGGCACTTTTCGAAATTATTTCGTAGCCACCCCACATGGTAAAAAAATATAGAACAAAAAGGGTTTAAACTGCATTACAGTTTGAAATTTAAACTTTGATCCAAGAAAAATGTTAGCAAATGATCAATTTAACTTCAAAAAATGTTAACATAAATCTAAGAAAAATATTGGGCTCTATGCATTTAATTCCATTTAGATAGCAATGCACGCTTTTAAATATTTTAAAAATGTATCCATGAAAAAGTTCCATGGATACTCCACTTTTCTGGCAAAGTACAGAATTTTCCCCCAGTGCATTTGGGCCATGGTGATGCATGTTGTGTGGCTGCAGTGTCTCTAAATTCAGCTAGCAATGCAGTGGTAATATTTCTAATGGCCCACGATCCAAGACCCAGCCAAAACTCAACCATTAAAGTCAGTTCAGCTGCAAAAAAGGGACTTTAAAACTGTAGAAGGTCCTACCAAGGATGCTTCGCCATCGACCGGAAATGGTGGGCCGAATCTTGTAAGCAATCAGCTCGAAAAATACAGGAAATTCAATTTTTATGCGCAAAAACCAGCGGCAGGAAGGCGTGACCCAAAACACCCATAGATATCGACTCAATATTGCTTGGCCACCAACAGCAACAACAGCAAAAAAAATAACAAAAAATAAAAAGAAAAACTTGAAAGAAGTTAAAACGTTTACAGACCAACGCGCAGCAACAACCACGAAAGGAATAATAATTGTAAATAACTTGATTTTGTTGCTGCCTTCGCCGGATTCCCGTTCGATCTCAGTGAGATGTGCCCCAGTTGGCCCAAAGTGCACACAGCACTTGGGTGGAATGGGGTCTAAAGAAGGTCCAATAAGACGTTCAAAATCTTTTGTTGGGCGAAATTGTTTTGCCAAAATAAGGCAAAACGGAATGAAAAAGGAGTACATAGTAAAAGTAGCAAGAGAATTTTTGGGTGTTCAGGTCAGGAGCCACTATACGGCCGCCGGGCAGAGCGGAACAAAGAGCACCGCTCTTAGCAACCCGATCTCGGCTCTGTAAAACTAGGTTCGGGACCGCGATATGCCGATCGCCGCTGCACTCCCGTTCTCGTTTTTTCCAAAGCTCTGTAAGCATGAGCGCGGAGTTATTTCTATAAGCTAGGTTTAAGAGTTACATATGTGAAGTCAAATAAACCAGACGTGCGTCTCACCACCACCTCCAACAAAGTCAACTTCTTGCCACGGCCTGTTGTGCGAACAATTTACCACGAATTTTCAACCCCCGGATCTTGAGCAGCCGGCCCCAGCTACATAATCATTTTGGTCCTTCGAGCCGGATTACCCTTCGAGAAAGAAGATAAGTACGAAATTCCACTCCGTTATCTTTCCGTCTGCATTAAGTCCGTTATTCCTCGGTACATATATTCGTACATCAAAAGGCAAACGGTCTTTACCTCAGTTCCAACTCCGTTTTATTTCTGTCTGCGTTTACTCCGTTCTTCCTCGGTACATATTCTTACATCAACAGACAAACGGTCTTTACCGCAGTTCCACAGTTCATACTTACCTACATACATATGTCCATATTCGTATTCGTTGTTCGATTGTCAAAAAGTTACATTTACAATATACACACACACATTCCCAAATACAGTCCACTAAAGGCTCTCCAGCGCCATACACATATCCGCACACATAATTACCCTGTTATTATTACTGGCTTACATTATTTATATTTTTTACTCAACAAAATATTTATAAGGTCACGGAAAACTACAACTATAAATTTTTCGCGATTGGGTACATACATTGAATATATGTTGTGCATAATTTAATTCCAAACTAATACAACAATAAATACATTATACGAAGAACTAAAGCCGCCCATCAGTATTCGTGATTGGGCATACATACAGACATACATATATCCAATACATCGACGGAAGCTCTCTACAATTTTAACATTTCATACAACATACATACATACATTGTACAACAGTTAACATCTCATACATCCATATGACAGCGCATTTTCGGCATTTAACATTTCATGCATTCATATGTAAAGGTAGCAGCGCGGTGTTAATATTTCAAATTGTCATACATTTATACAGCAGCGAGGGTCGCTAGCATCGTACTTGAACAGGCACTTGATAAACCAATATACCTGGTGCTTTACTCCCATCAGTCTGATTTTAATTGTTATTATTTTATTATTAATTAATAACAATTATATTAATTAATTATTAATTGTTATTTAATAATTATTAATTATTATTTATTATTTAATAATTATTAATTATTACTTAATAATTATTAATTGATTATTGATTATTATTTAATTAATTAATTGAGTTATTTAAGTTATTAATGAACTGAATTGGTTGAATTAAGTGCATTAATTAAATTACTATTATCATTAGTATTGGTTGGTATTTTTCACCCACGCAACCAGTGCAAAAGCTGTATATCCGTTCAT